AAGTCCCAAAGTGAACATGAATTCTGAGATACAGTTAAGTCTAGCTTATGAGTCCCAAATTGGATGAAACGCGTGTTTTTTTTAAAGTTTCATTATGATTAGGACTTGATACTTTCCTCTCTCTCTCTCTCTCTCTTAATAATACTTTCCATTATATGATATATATGAGAATTGATTATTTCGCAGACTATAATCTATGGACGACCTTTAAGTGACGTTAAAGTGGCCTTGAGAATGTTCAGCTACTTACTAAGGCTAAATGAGATTTGTAAACTTACGTGACGAATAAGGATTCTAATTTACAATTGGATGGTTAAGGTCAAGAATTAGATCTAAGAGTTTTCATCATGAACTAACATCAGCTAAAATCTTACAATTCTCTCTTTAACCAAATGGATGAATGAATTTCACGCTAAAATTCAAAAAACATGTTATCTTGGTTCGTTCATACATTATAGTCCCAATCATTATTTCTAATGTAATAATGTTAACTTACTTCAATATATTGTTGTTTAGATTGTATTACATTTGATTGAATATAACTAGTTTGATAATGTTCAGTATAATTATAAATTGGTTTAGATTCATTAAATTCACGATAAAAATCATCATTCACATCATCCTCATCCTCCTCCTTCTCATCCTCATCATCATCATCATGATTGTGATCATTTGTATAATGATAGAATGGATCATTAGATTTATGAAATGTTTTCAATGGTATATTCATTGATTTCAATGATAATTCTGGTGTTTGAATTTGTGTATAACGATTAAATGGAACTTGATTTGATTTTGTAAAACAAATATATTCATCATCATTATTATTCTTATTATTATTCTTATTATAAATTTTGAATGGATTACTGAAATATTGCGAATCATGATGTTGATGATGTCGTAATCGACGATATACAATATAAATAAGTAATAATAATATTATAATAATACATAATACACTTAATAAAATAATCAATAAATTATTTGTTAAATGAAACATTTCAAATTCAATTTCATCATTTTGTAAATAGTTACTATGATTATTATTATTAGTCGCCTTAGTAACATTACTTTCTAGAAGGTGTTCCCTTCTAGTAGACATTGTAGTTTGATTAAATATATTCAGTTGTCTAGATCTAATTTCAACGATAATCAATTAATTAATAATCAAACAAGCTTTACTGATAAGATTTAATACAGATTATTAATTATTATGATTATGATGATGATTATTATTACACAATGAGTATGATTTTGTAGGAATAGTGTAATCCTAATTACATTATGAATAATAATCAGTTTATTATGTATAAATATTGATCGATTGATTGATTGATTGATCGATTGATTGGTGAGTACTTAATTTTTTCTATTGAATGTTTGATCTAATTCAATATGAGTTATATTCATTATCGATTAAATTGAACGTTTTTTGTGCGTGTGTGTTTGTGCATGTGTGTGTTATTCATTGATTTTGTCTAGAATTATGATTAATTAGACGAAAAGTAATTATTACAAGAGAAAAATGAAGAGAAACTAATATTGTTCGGGTATAGATGTATCAACATCATCATCATCATTTTCATGGGGCAAGCACTAATAGGGAATCCTGAGCCGAATCGAAAAATAGGTAGGACAAATTAAACACTACGTTCGGAATTCGAAGGAGACGTGAAAAGGATCAATAACAATGGAAAAGGATTGTACAAGTTAAAGTTGGATAGAGAATGCTGGTGAGTAGCCTATGCTCATCCATGAAGGTAACAGGAGTCAGTCAGTCAGCTACAACGTAAGACCAGGCACATATATGCATCGATTCAATTTGCCACATCTCATCAGCACAACAAGATGAACACCAGATACATAGAATTGGTTAATTCATTGGTAGTAATATATAAAAGAAAGATTGCATATAAGGATATAGTACAGGAAGAAAGAATTAGTTTGTAGGAAGAAAGAAATAAAGCAATTTTAATCTCATAGTTTAAGGGAAACATAGAGTGTATACACGTAAGCCATTGTGATCGATTCTGAGTTATATCACCCAGAGTTTCCAACCATTGGTTAAGATTAAGCAGTAAGTAAGTAAGTAATAGATATATCTTTAATTTTCTACCAGATAGGTGTTTCCTGAATGATTGGATATCAAATCTATTGAGTAATGATAAGGAGTTAATTATTTTGTAAACTGTATTCTTTACATGTTGATATCCGTTGAGACAGAATTGGAAACCAAAGAAGATTGAACAATTATTTCTTTCTTGCATGGTCTTTACTAGCAGTCCGTATTCATGACTGCACTTAGGATCAAGCTTGAGAAATTCATGTCCATCAGTAAATGCTTGTTCACTAAAACCAATTTATCGGCGTTTTAAGTTACAAGAGCTTACTGATATTTTAAAAAATTAGCTCCGATAAGGGAAAAAACGATAGACATTTTCATTTTGTATCAAGTTTAACAATAAATGTATTTTGAGTAGTCCCATACTGGAACGAAACAACCGTTTACTGCTTCCAGGCTTTCAACACTGATCTAGCTTAGATTGATTCATGATTTTAATAAAAATAAGTATCTAGTAAGATCATGCTTTTACAATTGTTGCGATACACATATATATATTATATACATATATTTAATTGCCACATCTGGGAATGCTCAAAAACTGTAGCTCATTTAATGAAATCTATCAGTTAATTTTGTTTTGTCTTTTACATTCACAATTATCAAAACTGATTAAGTATAATGTAGACAAATGGGTCAGTGAAGTTTTTAAGAATTCATAGACTGACAACAAATACGACTGCTATTCTACAATATTCAATGTCATACTGAGTTGTATGAATAGCATGACCTGTGGTTGTATTTCACGAAGATACATATAAAATAATGTTTGATTAAGTAGGTTGAAGACAAAACAAATTTTGTGTAATATTTGTGTAAACTTATATTTCGATTTAGGTGGGAGGTGATTATTTATACTGTAATGTGTGCTACTGATATCGATAAATTTAAGTAGTGTGTGTCATCAATCGAAAGTGAAATGTCTGTCCGTAGTAGGTTAAGAAGATCTAAGGAAAGAGAACATAAAGTGATTGGTATGGAAACGAAAAAACAGTCAAGTCTGAGACAAATGACTGACATTTTGCAAATGAAGAATTTACTGTATGGTTCTCATTCTGTAATTTCGTGTTCAAATATATTTGGTTGTTTCGAACTGAGTTCTCGTCCACTACATACCCTAACTTGTAATTAACAAGAAAGCAGCTATCCATTTTATATGACTATCAAACGCTGTTCCATTACTAATATGTTCGATAGTAGTGTTTTAGTTTATCAGAGAGTTGATCTCATTTATGAAGTCTAAATCCGTGTTCTCTTGTATCCTAGCGAAAGATGTTACCATTTAACTATTGAAATCCTATTCGGTAAACAATATCATCTTCAATGATGTAGGTATGTTTTGTTGATTAGTGTTGACTTGCATGAAACATACTTGTCGTGCTTCCAATGGAATACGTTTATCTATCCGATATGGTGATGAAGTATTCCATCTAAAAAAGGAATCAAATTATGTGATGCAACCTGTTAAATAACCAGATAATGATAACTGTCAAACTCTTAGTTTCATTTCTCGTATTTTTTAAATCTAACTTGATATTTTTAGGAACATTATCTTTAGGGAATAAACTCCTAGTAAAACTGTGAGAACGTATTTATTTTAATATTGAAGTATAGATCAAGAGTGACTGGCAGTGAGATCCATTTTGTGAGTTCCTTCCAATTTGAGATTCGTCAGCTGGATGTACCTGTATCTTATTGTATATGAATTAGCTAATGGCTGCATGGAATCAGTAGCTCGGTGGATAACTTGTTGTGTATTAGAAAGAAAAGGTACTGGGTCTAAGTCTTGGTGTAAAGATCAACGTTGGAATGTGGCTTGTACATCCAGCTGACAAGTCCTAAATATAACGAAACACGTATCCTAGATTCTACTGCTGACCACATAGTTTTTATTCACTATTAAGCTTGTAATTAGGTGGATGTATTGGGGCAATTAGATGACGATTCATATCTACCAAAAGAGATTGATCAAATTTCAGTCCTCAATATCAACAATGACAAGATTCAAGCACTTACGAATAAACAAACTTTTTCTAAAGTTTCCTAACGGTGATCAACCCTTTTACATCAGTTTCGGGTAAGTTGATCACCATTAACCTTCATAGACATTTTTGATCAAGCATTATATAGTTTCATTAGTTTAATTAAATATTCAGCCAGTTGTCAAAGGATTCTATCTTCTGAAAGGTGTTGAAAAATAAGTTTACTAAGCACAATTATTAGCTTGATTATCTGCCAAAAAGACATCAAATTAACTACATTTAATTCACTTGGCATTGTTTTACTAGAATCTTCCCATTGATGTTTTAAGACTGCAATTGATCAGTCTGTTATTGGCATATGTGCATACTGTGCGTATGCCTCGATATTGCCTTAATTTACAAGCACTATAAGCAAAGATGGATAGTGGCTAGCAGTGGAATCCAGTTTGACACGCGTTTCATCCTATTTGGGACTCGTCAGCTGGATGTACCTGCATCTCAGACTTGATGTTCATTCTGGAACTCAAACTCAGTACCGTTCACTTCAAACGCCATCGCGTTATCCACTCAGCTACTGAGTGCTGATAGTCACTTGCTTGTGCAATGGGGTGAAGTTTAATTCACTTGGTATTATTTTACTTAAATCTTCCCATTGATATGCATGTTTATGGTTCGGAAATAGGGTCGTTTAAAGAATGACTGATCCTCATCTCGAAACTAGACATTTACAGATCTTTTTTTTTATATTCAGCGTCAAACACGATACAATAATCCCAAAGGAATTCAACAAACACACATATTATTATCATTTTCTAAGGGGTTTCAGTATTATTGCTGTATGTAAACGATTATTCCCATTACTATATACATAACCAAATAACAAAAAAGTCAAAGACTATTCAATAAACATAAAGAGTAAGTGAATTTATTACTCATTTCAATTAGTAGCATTCTCAAGGGAGATGAAATTACTTTTTGTATTCCAATGTAAAGTAAACTTGTAAACTAGGTAATAATAATAATAAATTATTATTATTATTAATAGTAATAATAGTAGTATTATTAATAATAATAATGATAATAATAATAATAATAATAGGTAAGATAAGAGACATTGCAGTGAATAAACAATATTACTTTTAATGAATACATAGAGACATAGAGTGTGTGTGTGTGTGTGTGTGTGTTAGAAATAGAGACCAAGATAGTCCTTCCACTTACAATACAATCATTTTTAGATTATTCATCATGTAAAGAAAAGTACAGAGATTTGAAGAGAAAAAAAAATGCAAAGAGATTTGAAATAGAAAACAAAACAAGGAAAAAGTAAAAGTAAACGGTACCTGTATATGTATGTCACTAATTATTGTAATAAATGTATTAAGACAAGTTGACAAATATAGATCATAGACAATTTTTTTTTTTTAAAATTTTTCAATTCGATACTTAACCCATATGGTGCATAATTATTGATAAGAAGGTTTAGATAGACAAATAAAGAGATGGTATATATGATTACTGGGTTTTCTTTTCTTCCCTCTTTAATAAGACTCAGTATCATGTTCTGTATGAATGTAAGCGTTTATAGATAAGTGTTCATATATATATATGTTTGTTTATGTGTGTGTGTGTTTGTATGGAACTTGGTAGATTCTGTGCCTTATAGTTGTTTATTTCCATAGAATAGGCCAAAATGATAGGAGCCAATAACGACTTGATGTCTGTTGTTTACATATATATATATATCTATCTACTTATTTATTTATTTATATATATATATATATATGAGCAAACAATTAATAACACAAAACTACAAACAAAAATTGGTGTGTATATGTATGTTTGTACGAAACCAACGAAAAACCCAACCAAAAGTGAATTTTCGATGAGCCTAAACACAATTGAATGATGTTGTGTGTTTTTTTTTATTGCAAAGGGTAAAGGAGCTCATCTGAAACTGATGTTTTTTTTTTTAATAAAAAAAAAACACACTACCGCTGAATAATGTTTAAAACAACCTTCAACAATGATCTCAAATGTTGAAGGTGATACAAAGTAGGTGTATAGGTGAACTTAGGTGTAGGAAGGTAGGTAGGTAGATAGGTAGGTAGGTAGGTAAGACAACAGGTGTATAGCCAAGGGAAAGGTAGGTATACATGATTGTGTATGTGTATCTATTACTATAATCTATATATGTAATTGATTCACCTTTCAAACAGTTTTAACACACATTATTATTATTACTATTAATGTTATGTTAGTATTCTTTAGTTGTTGTTCCCTAGAAGCCCACACACATACATACATACACATATACTCATACAGATATATAGAAAGAGTGAAATGCACAAAAAATAAGTATGTACTGAATACAATTGATCTAAAACTAAATATGAAGCTGAAAAAAAAAGTAAACGAACTGGGGTTTTAGAGGGTATTGCAAAAATGTAAAATAATAATGAACAGTATGATAGAAAGCATTTGCAATGATGTTATTCTTCTTAGAATACAGTTCATTACTGGTCAATAACAATTCAATTGTTAATTTATGTGATTTACTCTTCTTCTGGTGCTAAACTGGCTGTTGGTTTACGAGCACGATTCTGTTAAGAAATATTTAAAGAAAAAAAACATAATAAAAGGAAAAATTCATGGAATAATATTCATAATAGTTATTTAAACTAATTAGATAAATGAAAATATGAAGAAACGAACTCAGTAGCTAAATGGAGAATACGACGGCGTTTGAAGTGAACAGTATTGGGTTCGAGTCCCGGAGTGAGCATCAACCCTGGGATGCAGGTACATCCAGTTGACGAGTCTCATATAGGACGAAACATGGGTTTTTGATTCGACTACTAGCAACCATACATCTTTGCTTATGAAACTTGGGACTTATGGCAATATCGAGGCGATCTGCATAGGATACATATGTGCCAACAATAAACTGATCAATCACAGTCCTAATCATTAATGGGAAGATATCAAGTGAATGAATATAAGAAGTTTGTATGGAGAATTACTGATGATAGTATAATTTATGAACGACCTTTGAGCGACGCTGAAATGACCTTGAGAGCGTCCATCTAATAACTAGGATCAAATGAGGGTTATAAACCAGGGTGAGGAATTAGAATTATGATTAACAGTTGATGATTAGGATTAGGAATTAGATTTAGGGTTTTTATCACGAACTGACATAAGCCATAATGCCAAAACTCTATTTAGACAAATGGATGAGTGAAAATCCGAAACCTGTTAACTTATACCCGATTGGTTTGTCCATAAATTTATAGTCTCGCCCAATAACTCATTGGACATGCTCACTTAGGATTCTATAAACACAGAATTCAACAAAGATACTTCAGTGTCCACTTATAATATGTTTCAATAACAATTAAACACTGGATCTGTATCTAATTATGTAAATTATTGTGAAAATTTATCTGATTCGAGGTATAGAACGACAATTGACCAGTATTAGCAATGATATCTGTTTAATTTAAAGAATGGTAGTATTCCATAGACCATAGATTGTTCAACGAATTTAAACAATTCTCTTTTGAATAACTATAAATAGTAAGTACAAGGTGGTGATGATTATTATCACTGAATGATCCTGAAATAGGATGAAACAACTATGTTCTCCTTTCCTACCTTTTAACAGTAAGTTCTTTGGTTGATTTCATTATATAGTGAATAATGGTAACTAACAGAAAAACATCAAACTTGAACAACTTCTACATATACTTTTTTTCTTTATTAAATCTATATACTTAAAGTATATGGATAGTGGCTAGAAGTGGAATCCAGGACGCGTGTTTAGTCCTACTTGGGACTCGTCAGATGGATGTACCTGCATCTCAGATTTGATGTTCACTCTAGAACTTGAACCCAGTACCGTTAGCTTCAAACGCTATCGCATTATCCACTCAGATACTGAGTGCTGATAGCCACTTCCTTGTGCAATGGGTTCAACTTTAAATTCACATGGTATTATTTGTTTGAATCTTCCTATTGATATTTAAGACTGCAATTGACGAAACGCACATCCTGAATTCCACTACTAGCCACTATTCATCTTGCATAGGATGCTTGTGAATTTAGGCTATATCGAAGCAATAAGCACAGTATGCACATATGCCAGTAACAGACTGATCAGTTGCAGTTCTAAACATCAATAAGAAGATTCAATCAAATAATACCAAGTGAATTTAAATATACTTTAATGTTTATTTCTACGTTAAAACAGTCTAATTGAAACTTCAGCCATACACAATCATATCTCATTTTTTTTAAAATTGCTAATACTATAATAAGACGTTTTATGTAACGTTTACAACCACTGATCACAGTTACTGTGTCGGTTTTAACTAAATAGTCTAAACCTAAATGGTTTAAACTAATAGTTGTTGACTTCGTGAACTAATGAAATGTTTTCATTTGGCCATCCTCAGATTTCTTTCAACATACTCCTGAACTAAACAACATCGTCCATCGACGAAGGCTTCTATGGTCAAATGTTTTCAACCTATAAATGAATATCCTATATTTTTAAAGGTCAAATATCTCAATCATAAAGTATAGAAGAACGAAATGCTGTGCAGTATAAGCATTTCTTCGCTAGCGGAATGATGTCGCATATACTGCATAGGCAACTGAATGTTTTAAATCCATAGCTGATAAGATTTTTTGAAATAAATGAAACCATTGACCTTACCTAAGATGAATAACTGATCAGACAATGATTGTAGATAATAGTTTAAGAAATAATACTTACTGCATGTCCAGGTCCACCAGCTGGTGCAGCGCTTACACCACGTGCTGTTGATACTGATGATCTATTTTTAGCTCGAAGTTTTTGTAATGCTTGTTCTGCTTGATCAGCACGTTCTTCAGCATCTTCAATTTCATGTTGTATTTTACGATATTTAGCTAAATTGATAGCAGCAATCTCTTCAGCTTCTTCAACTTGTCGTTTGTATGTTTTAATTTTACCTTGAAGTTTCTCAACTAATTCTTGCATACGATCATGACTCTTTTTATCTTCTTCAGCCTAGAAACATACAAAAGGCATAAGTATAATACATTATGATTTTTAATCTTCAATTTGAAACAATCTTTTCAACTATTTGATTCTTTTTAGTTTCTATCATTTACATCATGAATTGACTTTAGTTAGACAATCATTGAAAACCTGAAAACATTGAATAACTATTTCAATGTAGTGTGTCAATTGTTACTTGTGTGTAGATTCACGATCCCATTATCGGGAATCGAAGCCAGAACCAATAAGTCTCGTTGAGAGAACTTTAGCAAAACAGATCGTTCAATCAATATCCAATGCTTCACAATGATATCTTGGTTTAATTCAAGTCATTCTTCAATAGACATTATCTTCCTTCTCATTTTACTGATATCATAAATTACTTCATCTTCATAAAGTAGATAAATGTGTGATGTTTTCTTCTTTTTGTTTTATTGAAAAGATTATTTTTTTTCTCAATGAATAACTAACTTACTTGTAAACTAATTTCTTTCATTCGTCGATCAACTTTTCTTAAATTCTTTTGAGTTTCACCATGTCTACGTTGTTCTGCTTCTAATTCTGTTTCTAATTCACGTACACGTTGTTCTAATTTACCCATTGCTTTACGACCATTTTTCATAGCACCTGATTCACTATCTTCTAAACGAGCCATAAGTTCTTTTACCTTAATGAATGAACAAAGAATCGGTTGAATAATTTAAATAATAGTAAATTTGAAGTTATTATTACTGTTACATTGAAATATTAATTTAGATCACAAATGAAACAGTATAAACTTCTATGAAATAAACATCATATCCTTTGAAAACGTTAGTGTTTGTCTGAACTCAGTAATTCAATGAATAATGTGCTAGTATTTGAAGCAAAGATTACTGAATGTGAATGTCAACACTAGGATACAGGTATATCCAGATGGTAAGTTTTCAAAACAAACACAGGTCTTCAATTCCACTAATGGGATAAAGTTCAGAAATCTTATAAAACTTTGACAAACAAAAATAATCCGGTACAGAATGCATAATGTTGGGACCCGAGAAAACATAATGAATGGTAACTTTGGGATCCTTTTATGGACCAATATTAAACGTATATTTCTATTGTATAATTATTATTTAACTAAAGTATGCATATTCATATTCCTCTTATTACAAGCTTTACTTTGACCCATAAACTATTATTACACGTTCTACCATTCTTGAGTTATACTCAGTATATTAATTTCTACCTCCCTCATTCACAGCCAAATCTGGCTAATTCTTATACAAATGTTGTTTCATATTATATTGGTACGTTGTGGTCTGTTTGATTGGTATATAAACTCAGTATGCTTGAAATATGATGATTCATATCTCAGAGGCTGAGACTTGTGTTCTGGACTTAACTGGCTAGGCTAGGCGGAAACCAGTGCCAATCAGGACTCTAGTTCGTTCTTACGTGTTTTACGCGTCTTTGGTCCGATCGATAATTCACTGCCATCTAATCTGCAGTCACAGCTATAACACATAAATTCTATTCTTTAATATTGAGACTATGCTAATTAGCTATTCTATCTTTAGTTCTGTATAAAATTTTTAAAAACCAAACAAAATATATCGAATAATTTCTTTTACTTGTATTTCAAGTTGTTTTCTAGCTTTTTCAACATGTTGTGTATGTTCTTGTTCTTGACGAATTTCTTCAAATACACGTGCGCTATCAGCCATAGCTTTTTTAGCTCGTTCATCAGCTTGTTTCGCTTCATTGGCAGCTTCTTCTAAATCGGCCTAATAAAAAAAGTAACAACAAAATAGTGAAAAATCAGAGAATCAAAGAGGAGGATGTAATCCGGGTTGAGCGAGGTATAGATACACACTGAATAAAATGGAAGATGATCGTACAATATATTGTGCATTTTTTTAGTTGAATCGTGAACCGATTGATGTTAGACCATCACTGAAAACCTGGAAGCACTGGACGGCCGTTTCGTCCTATTGTGGAACTTCTCAGCAGTGCGCACCCACGATCCCGCTCGCAGGGCTCGAACGCAGGGCCTATAGTCTCGCGCGCGAACACTTAACCTACTGGACCATCGAGCCGGCATCCAGTGGTGTTAATTCCTAACCTCAATCAATTCACGAAGTTGTGCGACCATCTTCCATTGTACTGAGGTAGACACCTGTTTCTACCCGATACGGACTAGCTCCACTGGTCACGGCTTCTCACCAGAACTCCGAGAATTTTCTCACGAAGCTACTCATTAGTGATCATTGATTGATTGCAGTTAGACATTGACACCGTTAGATGCTAGCACACTGATCTACAAATTAATCATTTGTACGCAAGATCAAAGGTTCAGGGTTACAGTCTCACGTGCATGATCTTGGGTATGTACTAATGAGTTTCATACTAGAACGAAACGGCTGTCTATTGCTTCTAAGTTTTTAATGGTGGTCTGACATCGAACAGTTCATGATTTCAATAAAATAATTAAAGTGCATACATGTGAAGCTATTAATGTTAATAAGATGGAAATAATATCTGTTACCCTTTGTTTCATCATCCCTCTTATTGACATGTCAAGCTAGCTGGTATATAATAGTAGTTTGGATAAAAGCTAGAGATAGACAGATCAAGCAAATAATATAAATCTATGAAGCTATTGACAGTTGATCTCTAAATTGTGATGATATAAGTCGATCTCCTTTGATGGAATACGTGTAACAACTGCGTTAATCAATGATTAGAAAAGTTGTGTTATAAGACCTAAAATTACTTGTCAGTTTGAGTCGATTACACTAATTTCTTATCATCTAACAAATCTTGAAGTAATTATCACTCTGAAAAATGTTCATTCTTTGACTCAGTACGTTCTATTTGCATTTCATTCTTTATATGGAAATCATTTCATTCGATCTTCTCTCCACTTCTCATCTTAATGGTTTTCTCTTAAGTCATACATAAGTGGTATGTAGCAAGAATTAGAAATAAAATACGAGTAGAAGATTGAAATAAAGAGAAGTGAAACGAAGAATAATCGAAACAGCAACAAGATTGGAAAAATGATGAAGTGTATAAAGGATGGAAACGGATAGGATAAACATTACGCAAATCATCAAACTGAATCACGAGGCAATCCCTAACTAGGAATGATGAAGGGAAGCGAAAGAGGAGAAAGCCGAAAAGCACATTACGCCGGCAAATAGAAGCAGATATGAAAATGATGAATAACAACTGGAAAGAACTGGAAATGATTACTCAAGACAGGGTTGGGTGGCGAGTGTTGGTGGGCGGCCTCCACAAGGAGTAACAGGCGTAAGTAAGTAAGTAATAAAGGATAATTCAGAATTTTCGTATAAGTTAACATATAAGAATGTAAGTTAGCGAAGAATTCAGGTGAAGAAGACCAATTTATTGGTTAATGCAAAATTACAGAGTGTGTTCGTAAACTATGAAGACCTAACATTATAAATATCATTTGCATAGTTTTTATCAGTTGTCTCTTGCAAACTACACCATTCTTTCATTTCTGTTGTTATTTTGATTGCTGTTAATTTTCTTCTTTCTTTTCTTCATTTAAATTCTTCACAATCTTTGGCTTGCAGGCATTTCACTTTGGATTGATGCTACATACTATTTATATCTATTAACATAAGTAGCATACACTACAAGCATTCAACCATTAAGACATTTTTATAATTCAGTTGAATCAAGTATTTTGTTGAAAGAGTTTTGTGAAAACTGGTTTATTTTTGTAATTTTTATCTGCCATAGATTGATCTCATTTAGGATATTAATAAAAACTAGATATCAATGAACATCTGTCTCGTCCCAGTTTGAAACGTATCAGGAGTGCTCACCTATGATTTTACCCTGAACCTTCAGATCTCACGCTGAAAACTTAAGTATTATAATCCTTTTAATAAGCCCTCGGTGTTATAATTCTAACTTCAGTCAATTCGCAATAATGCACAACGACTACTGCATGTTCTTAATGAAATCTGTCTCACTCCTGGCATATATGGACCCAACTAATCACGAAAACTCACTGGATGTACATCGCTGAGAAGTCATAAACTAGGGCAAATTAGCAGTTCAATGCTTTCTTGTTTTTATTTACGTTCTAACTTAGATGACGAATCCTATAATGAATGTAATCTACATATTGTTACTAATACTTTTAGGTCTCAAGGGTAGTTGAATAGAGTCCAGACGTAAATAAAATCTATTCATCATTATTCACTAATGTTAGTTATTCTTAAATTATTTATTTTAGAAAAATAAACATAACTATTGAGTCTTACTTGCATAGCAGCTAAATCAGCTTCAAGTTTACGTTTTTGTGCAGCTAATGATGCAGTTTGTGTAGACATTTCTGTTGCTCGATCTGATGCTTCAGCACGTTCAGCTTCAGCTATTTTACGACTACGTTCAGCTTGATCTAATGCTATACGTAATTCATCTAATTCACCAGCTAATACAGTTGCCCGACGTTCAGCAGCTTGAAATTGTTCACGTAAATCATCACGTTGACGTTGATCATCTTCTAATTGTGATTGTAATTCACGTACTTGTTGTTGGAACTTTTTCACATTTTTCTCTTGTTCAGCTCTAGCACGATTTGCACCATCTAAACTAACTTCTAATTCATTAATATCTTGTTCAAGTTTCTTTTTTACACGCATAGCTTCTGCTTTACCCTTTGCTTCAGCTTCTAAACTAGCTTGTTGTGATTCCATAGCTCGTTGATGATTTTTACGTGTAGCTTCAAATTCTTCTTCTTTTTCCGCTAAGCGTCGATCAATTTCTTGACGAATCTTAATAATAGACAAATAACAAAATATTTAAAAAATGATAGTGGGGATTAAAGAAAGTAAAAAAAGAGGAGGGGGTCTCATCAATAGAAACAACTTGTTTACCAAAATCATTCAGGAATATTAGTTCAAAAGATGTGCATGGAAAAAAAGGGAATTATTCCCAAATGTAACCATTGGATAATTTAATGAACAGTAACCTTAAAAAGGGGAATAACATAAAATGTGTTCAAAAATAATTTACAAACAATCTCCAGGGAAATATGTTTTCAATTACTCCAGTATAACATTATCGACTATTCAGCTATATGCATTAACCCTTGGTTCTAAATTTTGTAGTATGTCTACTAACATTCATGAACTCAACAGATAGTGCTTTTACATTGATTTGTCAAGGTCAATATTATCAATTAATTCATTTTTTGTATCGGTTTTTTGAATTTTCCCTATTTGATGTTTAGCACTATGATTGATCTGTCACTTGTTGCATATGTATATCCTGAGAGAATTGCCTTAGGTAACAAGTATTATACAACAAATATGGATGGTGGCTCAAGTCCCGGAGTGAACATCAACTCTAGGGTGCAGGTATATCTCAATTAAAACGAAACATGTATCTTCGATTCCACTGCTAGCCACCATTCATCTTGCTTATAATACTATCAATTATTTTTGTTCTATGCTTTAAACATAGAAAGTGTAGCATATTTTTCATCGGTTTAGTTAAAATAATTATTGTGACGTAATGCCACCTGCTGGTTAGCGTTTTTTAGCGAGTTAGTTTTCTACGGGATGGGGTCGCTAACGCCATGCCCAACCCTCCTCCCTTATCCGGACTTGGGACCGGCAGTAGCCCCCGGAGGGACTCCAGGCGTCACAAGACAAGCCCTCACCTGAACTCCTCAAGGTCAAAGGAAAAGGGGAAGACCAAAGAAAACATTACGCCGAGAAATGGAGATAGACATGAGAGAAATGAACAAGAATTGGATGGAATTAGAAAAGAAGGCACAGGACAGAGTGTGTTGGAGAATGCTGGTCGGCGGCTTATTGTCCATTAAGAGTAACAGGCGTAAGTAAGTAAGTAAGTAAGTAAGTAATGCCACTTGCTGTTACATAATCGAAATGACACTTAAATGAGATTGACAGTTCTATTTGTACGTGATTATAATTAGGACAGATCATTAAAATGACTATTTAGGTGTAATAGTATCAGTAATTATTTACAAGTAAAGTTTACTGAATCGACTTTAGTCATAACGTATAGGTATCAGATTAGTAATGTTAAGTCGCTTCAATCTACTGTTTAGTACTATAAATAATCAGTATTATGTTTAATGAATACATCTGATATTTACAATTAGACAGAACTATGAATATTCATTATGTAAAATAATGGTCTGACAACAGAAGAGAACAAGAACAGTGAGTAATTGGTATGGAAATGAAGGAATAGTCAAATCTGAGACAATTCATAGACATTTTGCAAGCTAAGGAATTGAACGTACAGTTTTTACATTTCACCAAATAACTTTGTAATTTTATGTTTAAATATAATCGGTTGTCCCCACCTGTGCTCTCGTTCATAGCACTAGCTGTTACTTTTAGATTGTGACTCGAAGTCAAATACACCGAATGAAGTTGACTATGAAAAACGTTTTGCCCAAAGTTTCAATCGTAATCTCATTACAATAAGAAGTGAAATAATCTTTTTAAACATTTATATTCTAGTTATTTTTAATGTGAAAATATCAGTTGAATGTAGTTTTCATCCTAAAATGATATTCAGTTGAAGAAACGATTAGCTATTACATTCCAACTATAATTATTTTAAAAGTATTTGTGTCAAGTGTGAGGCAGTCATTCACCGAAAACAATCGATGATGGTTACAGAATGTCATGAATCGATCGAAATTAGTCACCGTTCGATTGAAGGTCCTATATTACAGTCCTAAGTGCAAGACCATGGATGTGCACTAATGAGAAGTTCCATAATAGGACGAAACTGCCATCCATTGCTTCTACCTTTTCAATGATGGTTTAACATTGATTGATTTATGATTTTAAGAAAAGCATCCTATTTTTTAATAACACTTGAAGGCTCCATAGACTAATATATCATATGTTTGCATTCGTTGGATGTAATCAGTAGGAAACCCTGTTTAGACGCAGGTTTCAAGCTAGTTATAAATCTCAGTTCTGAATGAACTTTGAGTATAAAATGTATTAATTTTCCCTGGAATGATAACAAGAAAGATAACATAAAAGTTATGCTCTCCTTTCAGTTCGGCCGATGTAGCTGCTTTGGCAGGTACAGGAGAGCATATCTTAGATTCTTTGAACATGTTCCAAAAAGTCTTAGAACAAGGGAAAGAAAGACTCTGAACAGTGCAATCACCAAACATCTCTTTGATACAGGACTTCATGTAGATGCCTTACAATCCTTTAGGGTGATTAGTAAGCAGCCAAACTCCAGTCTTCTGAAGTTTGCTGAAGCCATTGCCATCAGGCGTCAAAAACCTGACCTATGTATTCAAAAGGAGACGGTGGTTAATCTTTCCTTGCCCTGGTGACAAATATATTCCTTCACTGCACCTTAAAAAATTTTTTTTTCTTTTTTTTCCTTTTTTTTGCATTTATTACATCATTGACTCTATTTTATTTTTTCAACTATCGTTCAAATTAATAATCTTTCAACTGAACTCTACTCACTACATTCCTTCAATGTTATTCAATCAACAAACACATTGAAATCGATCCAAACTATTAACCAATTAGAAATACCATAAACAAACATTGGACCAAGAATCAAAGTAATGAGAGATACAGTCAAGATTGAAGTCGACAGGACAAGCTGTGAGTTATATGTAAAGAAATTCGGACACATTACTTCTACCTGAAGTTTGTGCTCATGACTTCTTTCAGAAGAACAACGAAAGCTCCACGACCAAAACATACAACTCAGCTAACAAAAGTTCACCCGAATCATCCACCGTAGCTACAAATCTTCACCATCTCAGAAAAAAATTAATACTGCCTATCCTCAATGATTCTCTTTTACTTACTTGACTCATTTCAAGTTGAGCACGTTGAACTTTAGCTTCTTCTTGTTCCAATGCACTTTCAGCTTCTTCTAATGCAGCTTGTAGTTCCTCCTTTTCCATTTCAAGTCGTCGTCTATTTTTATCGATTTCATGTACTGAACGTCCACCTTCACCCAACTGTTCAGTTAAATCATGAATTTCATCTAATTATAAAAGAAATTAGTAATTAAATCAAACGACAATTATTTCGTTAATTACATAAATGAAATTAGAATGTACTAAAAATCTTTAAGTTTACAACTCAGTAATTACGCTGGTACCCTAAAATAAGTTAACACTAAGAAAAGGTTATTTTATTCCGTAAAATCATGAAGATTGTTCAATTTCACAGTTCATAAGGTAAACTGACATTATTAAGGAAACTCTTGGAAACCGAGAAATACTCGACAGCTATTTCGTCCACGGGTGGAATTCTTCAGCAATTAGAATCCATGCCTTCTCAAAAACGGGGGTCTGACCCAAGACCCTCTAGTCTCATGAGGATCGTTTATTATTTAAACAACTGATTGGGCATCATGTGGTTCACATGATTGACCTTAATATAGTCGCGATATTATTCAATTAAATTCTAATATCATAGGTGAATGAAATTCATGACGAAATTTATAGAATAATGTGACTGTAAATAGCGTCTTAAACTGCCTACATAATGTTTAATAGATAATAAGCTATGATAATAACCTCTGATTTGTTTTCAAATGTGATCTAGTGGAATAGGTTATTTGCACAGAACTGGCAATAAGATATCATGCTAAAGACACGGGGTCACTGCCTAATTATTAAAGATATCTTTAAGTAGTATATTTCATCAGAAAAATTGTATAATTTTGTGAAGAACCATAAAGCATGATGATTAGACAGTTTTCGTTGACTCCATCAACTGAATGCTTGACATATTATTCATTTGTAACTAAGTGACAAATCATTTATTCTAATCACTTGATTTTATATATAGTTTGTTACTGAAAAACGTTTCGTTCAGAAACGAAGCTAAAGAGCTTCACCTTTCTTCTTCTTTTTCTTCTTTCTCTCTTATTCTGTTTAGGTTAGTCAACTGTTCAGTACTCTTTGCAGCCAAAATTTATAGATCAGTGTAACTGATGACCTCGGGCTCTTTATATATTGTTAAATGAGATGTTAAAATTACAATTGATTGATCACTGGGTGGTGATTAATGTCTTGCTTGTCTAGTCCTTACTAGTGCAGATCGAATGCTATCGATCATGTTGCAATGTGACCACCAGTCTAGGTGACTCGACATTGCGGGCACTATGTATTGAGATTTAGATGGTGGTTGGAGGTAGTCAACAGGAAACCCTGAACCCGGGTTTCGTGCTACTTGGCACTCGTCAGCAAGGTGTACCTGCAATCTTGAGGGAACTGGTGCTCCCTGGCGGATTCGATCTCGTGTCACCCAGCTTCACAGTCAGAGATGTTACCACTGAGCTATCCGAGCCGTGACTAACCTCCTGTAGGACTGAGATGTAATTACAATTGATTGATTACTGGGTGGTGATCAATGTCTTGCTTGTCTAGTCCTTATTAAAATCATTCATACTTAAGTAATAATGATAACAATAATAGTACTCATTACAATAATTAACATTATTTATCCAATACATAACAATCAACATACCACTCAAATTCTTATTTTCTCTACGAAGTCCTTCCATTTGCTCATGTACTTCTTCTAATTGAGCTTTTAGTCGGAAGATTTCGGTTGATTGACCCCGTGCATCACGTTGAGCATTTTCTAATTCAGCCTATATTAACCAAAAAAAAGAATAACAATATCAAAATGATTACGAAAGAAAGGTTGTTATTGATGGTGAAGATTGTTGAATAATTTAGTTTATATCAATTATCATTGGAATTCAGGAATTGGTGAACAGTTATTCTAGTTGAATACTTGACATATTACTGTTGTGTAAGTCTATGATCAAATTGAACTGAGGATTGAAGCTAGACTACCATGGAAAACCTGGAAGCACTGGACGATCTTTTCGTCCTTATTATGGGCGGGATCGTGGATGCTCACTGCTGAGGAGTCCCATACTGGGGTGAAAGGGCCGTCCAGTGCTTACAGGTTTTTCATGGTGGTCTGGCTTTAATTGGCTCATGATTTCAACCAGTGAAATTTCTAAAAATCTCAGCAAAACCCATTCTGATGAACTGAGGATTGTTTAATTTGAACTGAGACAAGACAGTTGTCTTATGCTTCCTGGTTTAATAATTCATTATGATCATCTTATAATGTACAGTATACACTTAAATTTGACTGAATACTAAGTATTAGCTGCAATAGAAGTTATATATATACATATATGTCTCAATTTTTAATGAAATCTAACCTCCTTTTATGTCGTAATTTATAATAATCTGTAATGAATTTCAATTTAATATGAGTTCTCACAAAAGATATTTATTGTCTATCAATAATTTACAGCAGTATAAAATTTTAAGCGGAGACAGATTGTGACTGCCAATGGAATCTAGGATTCGCGTTTCGTCCTATTTGGTTCTCATCAGCTGGATATACCTGCATCGCATAGCTGATATTTCAAATGAAAATTGTTAACAAGATTCTAGGTTATTTAGTTTTATCTTTTCCCTGTTAATTTTTCTTTGTAATAAAAACCTTGAATATATTTTTCTGAATTCGTATTTCTACCTGAACGTTTCTATCTTTTAATTGTTTGTAATCACTTTTAAGTTGATTAAATTTCCGGTTCTACAATGTTTGCTACGTTTAACGAGATTACGATATCACCTAAAACTGGCGAAAGAAACGAAAGTCGGAAACATAACAACAAGACAAACTAAACAATTCCACTGCGCCTAGTCCTGATAATTAGAGGGAGAAGACCAGATTCAGCAGTGGGAAAAGTATATTTCATTAGCAGTTGGAAGCACGAATGAATAAGCACACAACTCATGCGTATATATATATATATATATATATACTACACAATGTCCTTAGGAACTGTTACAAAATAGTGTATTAAAAGAGGAAATGAACCAATGACATTCAAGGTCCTTTCAAGTAAGAAAAACCAACAGAAAGTAAAAGTGAGTGCTTTTTGCGCGAAAATGAGAAATTACAAAAATGAGACGTTTACTAAGTGATTTCTGGGGATCAAACATTCTTAAGGATGCCACCTTTTGCCTTGCTAAATATCGATTTTTCATTTATACTACTGCTTCCTTTGTTGAAGATTATTATTTTCAAAACGTTTTGTGTATTAGTTACTGCCTTATCAAGTTTATAATAGATTCTGTTTGTATTAAAATAATTTCGATTAGTGACTACAATAGGCTAAACCGAAGATCCAATCAATATCGTTTATCAAGATTTAATTGAAACTTATCTCCAACAAATAAAGTATGAGCTCATCACTTCAGGAATCTGTTTATTTGTAATATTATAACGTAATATAATCTACTGAACAGAATTGTAAATGTATACTGAGCCAAGAATGCTACTCATAAATCTTCCAATGAAACAATAATAATTCTTCTCTCTACAACATCACTTTTAAGTTTGCTTCATGAAAGCGGTTCCTAAATAATCAGACGTTTAGATGTCAGTCTAGACATTAAACATTATGTGATTATTTAGAAGAGAAATATCAGACAAGTACTTATAAGCCTAGTGTTTGAGATCCTGAAGGATCATCGATATACGATTCTGAGAAGCTTTATAAAAAAAAGAAACAACTGTTAAATGTTTGCTATTTTCCTTTGACTGCTTACTTATAATCAGTTTATGATAGAAACTAACAAATATCTGTGATTTTATTTAGTTCCCTTTAATAACTCACTTGAGAATCAGCATATTTCTTTTGCCATTCAGCTAATGTACGATTGAAATTATTTTGTTTACGTTCTAATTGACTAGCTAAACCATTAGCACGTTCAACATCAACCATTAAATCTTCTAATTCACCTTGTAAACGTGCTTTGGTTTTTTCTAATTGTCCACATTTTGATTTTGCTGATTCAGCTTCTGATTCTAATTCTTGTATTTTAGCATTCATTTTACGTTTTAATTCTTCCATTTCTTCAGAACGTACATCTCCACCACCGCCACCACGTGAACGTAATTGTTGTAATTCACCTTGTAATTTTTGTAATTGACGTTGTAAATCACCTTTAGCTGATTGTTCTTCTTCTAATGTTTCACGTAATGAATCTAAGTCACTAGTTAAATTACGTACTTCACCGTTTAGTTTAGCTTTCATCTAAATAAATAATAGAAAAAAAGAATTATTTTTTAAAAAAAAACTATAAGAATATCATTTATAGTACATCTATATTTATGATCTGAAGGAAAACACGGAATTCAATGGACAGCTCAAAATCAATTAGACGATTTGGACTTCGCAGATGACCTAGCCCTCCTATCACGTACACACGAACAGATGCAGATGAAGACAGCCAGTGTAGCAGCAGTCTCTGCATCAGTAGGCCTCAGCATACACAAAGGGAAAACCAAAGTCCTCAAATTCAAAGCGGAAAACAACAATCCAATCACTCTTGATGGCGAAACTCTGGAAAATGTAGAGTCCTTCACATACCTGGGAAGCATCATCGATGAACAAGGAGGTTCAGATGCAGACGTAAAGGCAAGGATTGGCAAAGCAAAGACAGCATTCCTACAGTTAAAGAACATATGCAACTCAGAACAACTTTCAACCAATATCAAAGTGAGAATCTTCAATACCAACGTCAAGGCAGTTCTACTGTATGGAGCTGAAACTTGGAGAACTACAACAACAACCATCAAGAAGGTACAAGTATTTATAAATACTCAACATCCATTGGCCGGATACCATCAGCAATAGCCTTCTGTGGGAGAGAACAAACCAACTTCCAGCTGAAGAAGAAATTAGGAAAAGACGATGGAAATGAATAGGACATACATTACGCAAATCGTCAAACTGCATCACGAGACAAGCCCTAACTTGGAATCCTGAAGGGAAGCGAACAAGAGGAAAGCCAAAGAACACATTGCGTCGGATAACAGAAGCAGATATGAAAACGATAAATTACAACTGGAAGGAGCTGGAAAGGATTGCCCAGGACAGGGTTGGATGGAGAATGCTGGTGAGCGGCCTATGCTCCTTCACGAGGAGTAACAGGCGTAAGTAAGTAAGTAAGTATATTTATGATATTTGCGACTTAAGGTGATATCAATGCAATCCACATAGGATTCACATATACCAATAAGAGATTGATCAGATAATGTCCTTAACACATGAATGAGACGATTCAAACAATCAATACAAAAACTCATTATACTACATTTGACTGGAAAGTACTAAATTAGATTAGATAAGAAAAGTGAATCAGAGTATAACTCAAAGTAGGTAAGGTTTAGGTTATCACAATGTATGAGATGTAGCTTTGGAAACATAATAATCTATCTTATCGTTTTTGTAGAATTAAGAACCTATTCAATGCAAAATATCTATTTTTATCTTCCGATAACCCATGCAGTGATTATGATGAATATCCTAATTATAAACCGTTGAAGAATTGCTTAACACCTATGTGATCTACAGTTATATGTTGAATGAAAATTTGTTCACATCACTTTCAATGAAATCTGGAATTTGTCTATTTTTCTTGTATTGTTGGGTATAAGAATAAGTCAATCCGAAAAATAGTATATATCACTTAGTCCCACTAAACTCCATTGCCAGGATTAAGGCCTTTAAAAATACAGGCTTATTGTGTCAAAACTACATGCCATAAACTTGTGAATTTTTGAAATTAAGTAGATAACACTTTAGATATGTTGTCATTCTTATAGTTGGCCAATACTGTCGGTAATCCATTGTTCTTTTCAGGTATCTCAAAAAAGAGTATACTTCAACATCATGAACAATCGGAAAGTGAAAACCATCATAACGCTCCCAGTGAGAAAGATTACAATCAACGGAATCAAGTGAAGACCGTGTTTTATTTCTGGAAGTGATTAAAAATAGTAATGTGAACTATTGCATTTTGATACAATATTCAGTGAGTATATTAGTCCTTGTGGGATGTTAAAGCCTTAAGCTAAATTGGGTGTTAGATAATTAATAGGGAATTATCAATGAATAGTAATTACCAGGTGGATATTCAGTAAATCTAATGCGAAACGATTGATTTCTAGATTTCTATAATTAGTCTCACTGTGTTTATGATCTCAGTAACTCCTATATAAATACTTCTCTAATTCAGTTGACCATTAGATACTTGTAGGTGATTATTCCTGTTAATTAACTTAAAATACAATGTATTATCCATAATGAATTTAATAAACCATCATAATTCTTTACACATACTCGACTTTCATCTTCCAAACTATGACGTGCTTCTTCAAGTTGTGCACTTAGCTGTTGTTTAATTTTGTTCAATTGGCTTAATTGTGACTCAGCTTCTTCTAATTGTCGTTGTAATTCAGAAACTTCTTGACTGCTACGTGCTTTAGTCGAAGCTTGCTCATTCAAATTTCTTGTAGCTTCATCTAATTTCACTGAAACTTCTTGTAACTGAGATTCTAGAGCCTTCACTGTTTTCTCAGAATTCAACTAAATTTTTTTCAATAAAAAGATAAAAATAAACAAGATAAAAGAAATTATATCAGATTAGGTTAAATGAATTCTGGACAGAATAGTCTCAGTGATCTAGATATTAAATATTCACACGAGAGATCGAGGGTCCTGCATCCAAGTCTCACATGTGCGGGATCATGGATGCTCACTACTGAGGAGTCCCAACGCTGAGACGAAACAAATATTCACTGACTCCAGGTTCTCAGTAGTGATCTACCTTAGATCAATTCATGAATTTAACTATTAAAATTACTACAATCTCCACAAATCTCCATTCAGAATACAATTACTTATAAAAGCATAGAATAGGGATAAACCAATCAGAATTAAGAAAAATCTATTGACCTTTATTGCGCAAAATTCAAAAGTGTACGACATTTATTTTACATCAGATCGAATGAAAAATAGAAAAATAATTTTATGTGACATTTGGAAAGTTTGTGATCATGGCAACAAATGATGTTTAATCACCATGATCTAAGAGAGATATTAACAATCGTTACAAATATCTAATAATTTCTACGCGAATTGTATCTAACATGTGAAACAATCATAATGTTAATACACACGAAATAAATTTAATCATCAAAAGAAAAAAAAGGCGAAAAAACTACTTTAAAAGAAAGAATCACTGATCTACTTACTTTAGCTTTCATAATACTATCCACCTGATTATGTGCATCATCTAATTCGGCTTTGAATTGACTTCGTTCTTTTTCAGCCCTATGAATAAAAATAATGATAAATGTACCAATATAGAATATTAATTAAGATCATGAATTGATCAACGTTAGGTCAATATGGAAAACTTAGAAGCAATATACAACTGTTTTGTCCCAGTATGGAACTCCTCGGTGCAGGACTCGAATTCAGGGCCTTCGATCTCACGCGCAAGCGTTTTACCTCTGGACCATTCAGCCGGCATTCAACAGTGTTAATGTTTAACTATAATCAATCCTTGATATAGTGTGCGATCATGTTCCACTGTCTTAGGTGGGTAACTGCTTTACATTCGATATGGTTGAACTCCACTAGTCACAGTTTCTCATCTCTGAGGAGTCTCATACTGGGGCGAAACACCCATCCAGTGTTTGAAAATCTTCAATGGTGATCTAACATTGTATTGTAAGTATAAACTGTTATGAAACTCAGAGAATACCGAACAACCCAGAAGCTTCCAGATAAGCAACAAAAAAAACATTTTTTCCTATACTTATTTCGAAATTCCTAATGATCAATGTTAGTTATTCGTATTCAATAAAGTATCATTAATAAATATTTGGAGATAATCATACCATCCAGTATATTAGACAAATTATAGTTTAAAGTCAGAATAGCTTATTGTTGGGGACGTTAGATCCCCAGAACTCAATTGGGAAAAGAAATCATTTTGTAATTTTATTTAGAAAATTTGAATTTTTTTGTTTTCGCTCCAAAGGCTCTCTTGTCACTCTCATGTTGTAGTTCCCACTGGGAAATATCTTAAATACTATTGGTCCGTTGCGTCTTTTAGTATGCTATTTGGTAACTCTCTCCGAATACGGTTTTGCACTATATATATATATATATATATATATATATATATATATATATATATATATATATATATATATATATATATATATATATATATATATGTTTTGAATTGTGTTTGTTGTTATCGCTCCTTTCTGGCTGTTTTGCAGAATATATTTCCCATTCCAAGCTTGGACTTCTCCCTCTAGTTAGCGGGGATAGGACGCATCAATAGCTAGCTTACTGGAATTTGGTCACCGGGTCTTGTTCTCGTTCGCAGATTAAGTGAACTCGTAATAGCTTCAAACGTAGCACTTATTCGCAATGTCACAAGTGATAATCACTCTCTAAGAGGTTAATCAATCATGGAGAAAATGTTATTCACTTCAACTAATACAACTGAATCCCTAAAATAAAGGGATACTTTTCAAGAGAAGTGAGATGATAGGCTAGTTATATTTGAACAGGTTGTCTATCAATCAAAGTAGTAGGTGAGAAATAATAAATTAAGTACACACTACTAAAGGGTGATAGTTATGTAACTGATCAGATTCTTGTCTGGTTCAGAAGGGTGTATATGAGAATATGACTTAATAATTAGCGTATCAATCGATTCACATTTTTCAATTAGAGCTTCGTAGTTATTTGTTATGCTTCCACTCATATAACACAATTGGTAATTGTATGAGAAGCATGTGTGTATCTAACTGAATCAGACGTTTTGCATTGCAACAATTACATATTTGGTTTTTTATTGTAAAAGAACAAGAACAATAGAAGACATTTCCCTGATGAGAAGTATATTATTGTAACCAGGTGGCTTGTTTGAATATCTGGGTTACCTGTTTCTATCATTTAAATACTTCAACAAGTTATCTGTTTCCTTGCTTATTTTTGACAGATCATTATGTCACTTGATTGCATAATCTATTCAGGTGAGTTTGTGAAAAATTTACGACATTTCACTATACAAGTTATAAAAGAGGGCAATCAGAGATATCGTGTTAGTTAGCAATATGCATTGAAAAAATAACCATCATTCAGATGTCTATTCTTGAATTACTAACATCCAAACTGGTGATCACTCAATATTTATCGTCAGGATAGATCAAGAAAATAAGAAAAAAAAACCTGTTGAAATACTTTGTACCGAGAATTTCATACTGTATCAAATATACAATATTGAATAAAGCCATTCATAATAATAATAATAGATTAGATTTCAGAATTTAAATAGATTGGAGATTGATATCCTTGTGAAGTAAAATTTTGGAGGTTATTAATGATAATTCATCAGTGTCAGAAGAGGTAATGTTCTAGCTGAGTATTTTTACATTTAGGGTACTTTCATTTCCAGTGTTATTGAATAATACTTAGTCCTAATCATTAGTAAAATATTAGTTTAATAATCGAATTCATAAGTCATTTGAAGCTAGATCACCATGAAAAACCTGGGAGCATTGGACGACCATTTCGTCCTAGGATTGGATTCCTCAGCAATACCGATCCACGATTCTGCCCCGCGAGATTCAAACCCACCGTTAGATGCCAACTCAGTGGTCTACAGGTTAAGCGTTCGCGGGGCAGGATAGTGGATGTGCATTGTTGAGGAGTCCTATACTACGATGAAACGGCCGTCCAATGCTTCCACGTTTTCCATGGTGATCTAGCTTCAATTGACTCATGAATTCAATTATTAAATTGCTACGATCTCCATAAAACCCTTCTCTGAATAAAATATTAATTTAATAATATTTTTTCTTACTTTGCTTTAGCTTTATTGGCTTGATCTAATTGATCAGCTAATTCATTGACAGCATCACTTTGTTTTTTACGCATTGTAGCTATTGCTTGTTCATTTTGTAAACGTGTATCTTCTAAATCACGTTTTAATTTCATTAATTCTGCTTCACGTTTTTTAGTTAAATCACTTTGTGCTGCTGTAGCACCATCTTGTTCTTCTAAACGATCTACAACCTCTTCTAATTCACTTTCAAGCTTTTATTGTAATATTTTTTGAAAAAAAGAGAGGAGGAAAGCAGAAAAAAGTTTATTAGCTAAGTAAACAATAAATATTTAAGCAGAGATAGATAGTAGCTACCAATAGAATCGATAACGCGCGTTTCGTTCTATTCAAGACTCATCAATTGAAGGTACCTACATGTCACATTTGTAATTTATTCTAGGAATCAAACACAGTAATATTCACTTCAGATACCGTCACATTATCTATTCAATTAGCTACTGAGTACCGATAGCTATTGACTTGTGCAATGGAGTGAAGTCTATTTCATTTATATTGGTTGTTTTTGTGTTTAAGACTATAATTGATCAGTCTCTTTTCGACATATATGCATCCTGTACGGATCACTTCAATGTTATCATTGTTGGTCAACATCCATCATTGTTTATAATGCTTATGACTTAAGGTAGCATCAAGACAATCACTAGGTACTTGGTTCGAGACCTAATGTGAATATCAACAGTACAGTTCAGGTACATTCATCTAATTAGTCACAAATGGAATAAAATACATCTCCTATCTTTCATTATCATCTATGGTAAATCTATTCTAAATAAATTATTATAAATAAAGCAATTTTATTTTTAATTTCACTATTATACAGTTGGTTAAATTCCGTAAGGAGTATTATGAATTCATACATTTCTATTCTTCTCTTAGTTTTACTAACACATATGTATCTTGTTTAGGTTTTACTTCCAAATAATACTAATCGGATGGTGATGGGTGTACTGTTTTCGTATCCCAGAAATCTAACGACAAGAATAAGTAACTTGTATTTCAAAATTTAAGGACCATTTTCCACCAAGATCTGTAGAAGCATTTAAAACCAAGAAGGTAATTAAGCAAGCCCTTATTGTTTATTTAAGATTTCTCTGAAATAGTACACATCAATGATCTTATACAGTATAAAACTGATAACCATCATATTATATGGCTAACATAATAAATTTAGATAATTAAACCACAACTCAGTGGATCATAAATTCACCTGATGTTGTTTGCTTGTATCTACTGTTAGGTTCGAGTCCAGGGGTGAACAACAACTCTGAAATGCATGTCCATCCAGCCTATGAGTCCTAAATCGGACGAAACGCGAGTCCTAGGTCTCACCGCTAGCCACTATCCATCTTTGCTTATAAATTCAGTGGATCACAATTTATATTTCAGTATATGTTTTTGACGTGACTCAAATGATCCTAAATGAATTTGTAACTATTCACTGTTGATAATATCTGAACAAATGTGGATCGATTTTCTGTATTGTATTTCAATTATTCTTCAACTCATACCGATTTGTAATGAAATCTATCTTCTAATTATACTAATCTTTGACAATCTCCCCCCTCGATAACTTATGTTTGTGTATTATCTTTCACAGAAGGCTCGACTAGTTTTTACTAACTTGCGTCAATTATGGCGTAGGCGAGATATCCGTCTATCAACCAAAGAACGTGTTTACTGTGCAGTAGTTCGTTCCGTCCTACTTTTTGGCAGTGAAACATGGCCGGTAAGTGTAGAGGATATCCGTAGGTTACTAGTATTTGATCATAGGTGTCTTCGAAACATTGCTCATATATCCTGGGACCATCGAGTAATTAACGTAGTTGTTAGAAAACGGGTACTAGGTAAGGATGGCAAATCAATTGATGAAGTAGTGAAACTCCATCAGTTGAGATCGCTGGGACACGTGTTATGTATGCCCAACCACCGACTGCCCCGACGTGCGATGTTTTATGGTTTAGGAGTAGGTTGGAAGAAAGCTAGGGTCGGCCAAACCAAATCATGGCACAAATCTATGAAGTCACGGACAAGTGGACTGAACCATGTTGGTAGATGTAGACTACCTGGTTGGGGACCGCGAGATGATAGCAACCGATGGTTAGAGATCATGAATGACATGGTTCAAAGTCGTTTGCAATGGCGCAGGTGCATCCACTTTTTGTGTCCTCCCAAATTATAATCTCTTCAATTCTTCATGTCTCTTTTTATTCTCTTTCCAAATTTATTTCACTGGATTATACTCCTTGAATAACATCTTCAAACCCTAATGTTTCCGATTACTGCTTATACTCTCACTACCACTACGGGATTTGAATCGACAACTGCATCTCTGTGTTAATATGGTATGGCAACTCGAACTGATATACGTACGTACGAAGTTCTACGTTGTTACTAACTGACTGATTATCTCTCCATTTATTTATTTAATAAAAAATCTATAGTTGACATTCATCTGATCAACCGAATTAAACAAAACATAATTCATCTTCTCCATAGTCAACATTCTTTTATTTTGAATATAAGTTTGTAACTTAAACTGCAAAATTTTACTTACCTGTTGTCGACTTTTCTCAGCTTTTGAACGAGCTGCACGTTCTGCTTCTAAATCTTCTTCTAATTCTTGTATACGTGTTTGAAGTTCTTTAATTTTTCTTTGTAATTGTGCTACTAAACCTTGTTCATCTTCAAATTTCCCACTTAAACCACCAATTTCAGCTTCTTTACGTCTTAATTGCTCTTCTAAATCACGTTTAACACGTTCCAAATCATCAACAGTTTCTTGTGTAGCTTTTAAATCACCTTCTAATTTACGTTTGGATTTTTCTACATCACCACGAATCTTTTGTTCACGAGCTAGATTTTCTTCCATCTATATGAATAAAAGGTAGTGTAAAGTAATAATAATATGATTGGTAAACAAAACAGAACTACAAATGATTATCAAAGGAAGTATGCTTGGAACAAATAAGATGACGAAACCGTGAAGAGATAACGGAGAGAAAAGATATTGAATTGGAAAACGACTAAGTAATTCAAAATAGTTTCTAATAAACCAGTTAATAAACATATGTACCCAAAAATATTTCTCTCAGTTAAGCAAGTTCCTCTCACTTTAATGACGGGTTTAAAATAGAACTATTACGGGATCCTTATTGACTTCTATTCTGAACCATGTCTGATAACGTCTAAAGCCATTGAAGTGCACCATCTATCAGACCCCAAATGAAGAGTAATGGTGTCAGTTTTAAACTGATTTCTTCAATACCAGGGACCATATCATAAAATGATCATCTCTCCAATCAGTTTGAGCGTCGATAAATAATTCATGACATGGAAGTCGACGACATAACATTTGTATCACATGTTCAAGCCACACAAAAAAATCTGCTTCAAGATAGAAAGATTATCACAATGGGTTTTGTGGAGAGTTTTAGAAATTTCACAGGTTGAAATCATGAGTCAGTTGAAGCTAGACCACCATAGAAAGATTAACTAAGTTACTGTAGATATGTTGAAACACACAAACCAAACCTCAGCATTATTACCACGGTATTGCCCCTGGACGTTAGCAATCCTTCAAATGCCACAATCATCAAACACAGGTATCATTACTAAAATTTGATTTGATAATTTCGAATAAACTGAGCATTGAGTAGATTTTTACGAATAACTAATATATTTGTAATATCCCAAGGAGTAGAGAAATTAGATTTTCATACGTTTCGTAACTTAGCGTAAGCCAACTCTTCAGATAATAAATAACCAAATTATAATTAATCCAAGTTGTTCCGTTGTACTATTTGGTCATTTATTCTTTGAAGAAGTGACTTGTATTAAGTTACAAAACGTCCGAAAATCTAATATGAAGGGAAACAACAAAAGAGGAAGGTCAAAGTGCACAATGTGTTGGGATGAATAGCAACTGGAAAGGATTATCTAAGACAGAATTGGATGGGAAATGCTGGTGAGCAGCCTATGCTCCTCCATGAGATGTAACAGATGTAAGTAAGTAAGTAATTAATAAAAAAGGAATGAAAGATTCACTTGATATTGTTTGGCTTGTATCTTCCCATTGAGTTTCTTAAGACTGCAATTGGTCAGTCTGTTATTGGCATATGTGCATACTGTGCGTATGCCTCAATATTGCCTTAATTCACAAGCTTTTTGTAAGCAATGATGATTAGTGGCTAGCAGTGGAATCCCGGACACGCGTTCCGCCCTATTTAGGACTTGTTAGCCGGATGTACCTGCATCTCAGAAAGTTAATGTTCACTCTGGGACTCGAACCCAGTACCATCGCACAAGCAAGGGGCTATCAGGACTCAGTAATTGAGTAGATAATGCGATGGCGTTTGAAGCGAACGGTACTGGGTTCGAGTCCCGAGGTGAATATCAACTCTGAGTTACTGTTGAATCCAACTGACGAGTCCGAAATAGGATGAAACCCACGTCAAACTGGATTCCACCGCTAGCTACTATCCATCATTGCTTACAAAAAATGAATGAAAGATCTACAAAACAAAAAAATACATTTCATCATAGACTTACTTCATCTAATGTTGATTCTAATTTTGCTTTTAATTTATTTAAATGATTCACTTTATCTTCTTCAGCTTGTAATGCTTCTTGTGTACGTTTATTTTGTTCTTCTAAATTTTTTTTATCTTTATTTAATTTTCCTATAGTTTCATCTTGTTGTGCCATTTCAGCTTGTAATGTACGTATTTGATTATCTTTTGTTTGTTTTTCTTGTTCAGCTTTTTGTAATGATGATTCTAAATCTTCTACATCTTTTTTTAATTCTTCAATTTCACTAGACATTTTCTTTTTAACTTCATTTAAATTAGATGCTTGATCTTCTTCATCAGCTAAACGTTCTTCTAATTCTTTAATACGTTGTTCCATATCACCACGTTGTAATACTAATTTAGAAATTTTTTCTTCAGCATCAGCTAAACTATCTTGTTCTGTTTGTAATTGTAAAAATAAATCATTTTTTTGTTGTAATACAGTAACATTTTGTTCTTCTAATTCTTTTTTTAATTTTTCTAATTTTTCAAATTCTTCTTTTAATTTAGCTAATTCTTCTGCTGCTTTTTTCATTTCTTCTTCTTGACGTGCTATATTTAACATTGGTTTAACTTTAGTATATAATCTCCACCATGGCCAATTACGTAATACTAAATATTTACGTATATTACGTTGCATTAATGTTAAAGCAACACTAGAATAATAAAATAATAGAAAATGAAAAGAAATGAAAAGATTTTGATAGATTGAATTGTAAGATATGAAATGAATTAAGGTCTATGGTAGATCCTTTAAATGCTCTGGTATGGCCAAGAATAAGGTGGTCCCGCCCTCCGTCTCGAAATGCTCTCACATGGCCACGCGTATACAGTCTATGCCAGGGAAGTCCTACTCACTGCCTTCTCGTGGCAAAGGTGTTGTTTACGAAATTGAAAGGACGAAAAGCGAATGTCCGGCGCTTTAACCGGATTCCAAACCAATGGTGCACATGGGCTCCAGTCTCCTGCGGGAACAAAATGTCGTATGAACCAATTTTCGGTCACCGGCTACCATGGGACTTCATCTCCTTACGATGCTCCATTGCCTTGTGGGTTAGACCTTTAGGTTAAAGGCTCTGGGTGTGACCCCCTAAGATAACCACCTGCTTCGGTCTGGGCACTTGGGCAATATCACAGCCCACACACGGACAAATATGGTGTGGCGCATATATATTTGGTGCCCTCTTGTACCAATGTTAATGTGTTGAAATAAAAATAATAAATGGCAGATCCCAGCGCGTATCCGTAAAGCAAGAGCAGTATATTCACAACTGAGAAACATCTGGAACTCAAACCAACTGTCAACCAACATCAAGGTCAGGATTTTCAATACAAATGTCAAGACAGTTCTACTATATGGAACGGAAACCTGGAGAACTACGAAAGCCATAATCGAGAAGATACAGGTGTTTATTAACAGTTGTCTACGCAAAATACTTCAGATCCGTTGGCCGGACATTATTAGCAACAACCTACTGTAGAAGAAAACAAACCAGATCCCAGTGGAGGAGGAAATTAGGAAGAAGCGCTGGAAGTGGATAGGACACACATTGAGGAAAGCACCCAACTGCGTCACAAGACAAGCCCACACATGGAATCCTCAAGGTCAAAGGAAAAGAAGAAGACCGAGGAACACATTACGCCGGGAAATGGCGATAAACATGAGAAAGATGAACAAGAATTGGATGGAACTAGAAAATAAGGCCCAGGACAGAGTGAGTTGGAGAATGCTGGTCGGAGGCTTATGCTCCATTAGGAGTAACAGGCGTAAGTAAGTACGTAAGGTCTATAGGTCAAATCATATTATTGATTGTATCGGGATATGACAATAGTAAAATGTTTTTCCTTTTATACAACTAATACTTGTAGAGAGGCTACCACCTAACCCCAGTAGAATAAGAAAATTGAAAATGGTCTAGTCTAAGATACAACATCCCATCTTTGGTCATGAATTCTCACCACAAGTGGTAAAGTTTTAAATTACAAAGTGAACACACTAAACTCAGTGTGTAACCATTTTCAAACATTTGAGACCAAGTTTTCAAGTTATCAAGCCCATTTATTTCTCAGTTTCTTTTACAGGTAACCAATGAATAAGTACTTTTCTTATGTCATTTCCAACCGTTGAGAAGAAACAACCTTTATAACTGTTATTAAATTCAAGATGAACGTATGTAAATGGTTGTCGGAACTAGATTGAATTAGTACTTTTAAAACCAATATAGTCAAGGGTACTCTACAAAGGTGATCATCATCATACGTACAATACGACTAGACCTATGACGCTTCTGGCACCCAAAAAGCGAGTTTATATTATGTTACCATTCAGAGGCGACACAAATAGTCTCATGTTGAAACGGAGACTTAAATTAACTATCAACCGGACATTTTATGCAGCTCAATTTGTCATTATCGAAAAGACAAGGTCTATGTTTCACCAAAAGCCCAAACAGCACGAAAACGATTGTGTCATATCCCATTGCGTATATCAATTTACATGTATGTGTGGAAACACGTACATAGGGAGGAGCAATCGTGATTTGCAGATGAGAGTGGGTGAACACATACCAAGATAGTTGCAGAAAGAAATGAATTTCAATGGTCAAATAAGATCACAGGATAGACAGATATCATCCTCCACTGATTGAGACTGGTCTTAAGGTTGACATCAAATCAACATTTGTAGTGTTATACAAAAGCTTTCAAAGACGTTTATTGAAACCTTGGCTATACGGAAATTGAAACCCCCTTAATGTGTTCAAAAACAATTTGTCCTCACACTTAACCTACTGTAGTAATACTGATTTATTATACAGAGTGGTAATCACTTTTGTTTTGTTGTACTTTTAATATATCACATAATTCTGATCAACTTCGTCTTCTCATTACATTATCGAAGTTTATCAAAGGGACTAATTATTTTAGATAAGTTAACAGTTTGTATACAAAAGACTCCTTCCTATATTTTAAAACAAACTTAGCCTTCAGTTGTTTTTTTCTTTTTTCAACTTTCCCTTCATTATTAACCTTTTATTTACACATGAATCTACTCATTTTATTTTTATACCATTATATACTACTGATATTGATTTGACATAAGTAACACTTACCGTTGATCTTGTAATTTTTTATATTGTTTTCTCATTAAATAACCACGAATTTCTGCTTGGAATAAACTAATTATACCATTTAATTTATCATCACGTAAATCTTCTAAATGAGCTAATGTACCAGCTTTGAAAAATACTTTAGTATTACCGCATTGATATAAATTTTTATCTAATTGTGTTGCTTCTAATAATTTTTCTGTAACTTGACGACCATCAACAAATCCATCTGGTATAACATTTGGCGCCAAAATTGAGTAACTTTATATAAGAAAGAAAATAAAATAGAATATGAAAAAGGAGATAACTTGATGAGTTTTATTATATATAATCTAATATAATTTAAGCTATTGATGTAGTATACTGTTGACTACCTTCAAATAGATGAGATATCAAGTCGTTCAAACTAATGCCCACATTGTAACTTCATCGACAGAGTTCATATATCACTAAAAAAAAGAACTAAATGAATATGAGATTAGTCACTATTTACTGATCAATCCACTGTCAGTCAATCAGTTACAAGGTAGGATCAAGCACATACATGCATCGGTTCAAGTTGCCACACTTCATTAGCACAGCAAGACAAACACTGGATTCATAGAAACAGTATGTACATCTCACTTCTATAGGCTAATCACAGCTCGAAAATGTCTAGTGGAAGTGTCTCAAATTGTAAAGTTAAATAACATGGGTTCGAGTCCTAAATGTTATGTCATCTCCCTAATAACTATTGATACGTTTTGTGGAAGATAGGGTATTCTACCAATTATCTTCAACCAACTGTCATCTTAAATGAATCCTACAAATAATTTGTTATATTTATATATAATAAACTAATTCGAAAATTTCCATCATTAATTTACAAAGACTAGAAAGTTGTTGAACAAAAACCAGCTATTTAGATCCAGCTAAGAAATTCGCAAAAGTTACCAACCATCCAGAAACTTACAAAAGATCAAACGTAGAGAATCTTCACATTTGAGAAGATAAACATGAAGTTCTGGAATCTAATAGTTTCTCACTTTAAGTACTTTGCAACATCAGTGAGTAACTTCTACATTCCTCCTGATATACGATTGAACACACTTATGAACTTCAACTGTATCTAACTCGTTGTTTCTTTCTTTTTCAGAAAATTCGAAATTATTTTCATTTTTGTTTATATGTAAACATAATGAGATATAATGATTATGTTAATGTATTCAGTAAGTCATCTATAACTGATTTGGGCGAGACTATACATTATGGACAGACCAATAAGGTATAATTTAATAGGGCTCATTCATCCATTTGGTTAAATGGAGTTTTGGCATTATTGCTGATGTTACTTCATGATGAAAACCCGAAATCTAATTTCTAACCATCATCAACTGTAAATCATAATTTTCATTTCTCAACCTGGTTTATAACACCCATTTGATCCTAGTTATTAGGTGAACACTCTCGAGGTCACTTAAGCGTCGCTCAAAGGTCGTTCATAAATTATAGTCTCACGGAATTTTTTTAATACTAAAATGTTTATAGTGTGTGCCTGGTGAAAACAGGCTTGTAATTGTGTAGAATGGAATATTATCTACTCTAAATACTCTAGTTTTCTAAATTAATTTATGAATTGTGCATCTTGATATAATGGGATCTCATTCTTTATACAGTGTACCGATCGAGTATCCAGCAGTCGTCAGCAGTGGCATTATAGTAGTAACAAGTGACAAACAGATAATATTTTCATTCTGCCAATTACATCACTTCATTACATGATCTACTCTGAATATCTGTTCATCTTACAGAAATCATTTTAATTTATATTAAATTGATGAAAATAGGTCCTGGTTTCGAATCCCGTGGGGCGGGGTCGTGGATGTGCACTACTGAAGAGTCCCACAATACGATGAAACGGTCTTCCAGTGCTTCCAAGTTTTCCATGGTGGTCTAGCTTCAATTGACTCATGATCTCAACTGTTGAAATTACTACAATCTCCACAAAACCCCTTCTGATACTAATCAACATATGCTCATTAGTGACTGGCTTCAAGAGATATATCCTGGAGTTTTAGTGAGAACCAGTGACCAATGGAGTTCAACCGGGTCAGTTGTGAGGTAGTAATTCACTGATGACAATGATCGATGTGCTGCTCAATTTCATGGGTAAGTTGAAGTTAGACATTAACACCACTGAATGCCGGCAAGCTCAGTGGTCTAGTTGGTTAAGCGCCTGGCGCGTGAATGACAGGTCCTGATTTCGAATCCCGTGAGGCAGGTTCGTGGATTCGCACTGTTGAAGAGTCTCACAATAGGACGAAACGGCCGTCCAGTGCTTCCAGTTTTTCCATGGTGGTCTAACTTTAATTGACTCATGATCTTAACTGTTGAAAGTTTTATGGAAATTTATTACTCATAAATTAATCAATGCTGGATAGATATTTTCTCTTAGTATGAAATGAATCAGATCATTCAAGAATTCATCACCACAATAAAAGTTGAACATGGAACCTTCAATTGTCACGATGAATACTCATCCATTGTTAGAACTACTAGGTCAGTGATAGATTTATATAAACTTGAATCAATTTATGATATAACAAAGCAATTATTGAATTACCGTTGTTTGAATTCAGAATAAATCATGCGATTTGGAAAACCTTTACGACAAATACGAATTCCTTCAAGTACACCATTACAATGTAACTGATGCAAAACCAAATGAGCATCAATGACACCTTAAATAATGAAATAAAATCAATGAAAATTATTGATTTTAATTGATTAGATTATATTTTACTAGAATAAAATATATATAAGGAATTATTAGTATAGGATTGTGGGAAATGTTGAATAGTAATTGTGATCATCAATTGATCAGTGCTAGACTAGCATTGAAATATCTGGAAGCAATAGATGACTATTTCATTCTAGTATATTTGACTTTTGAGAAGTGCTCATTAAGGATCTTACATGCGAAATTCGAACACATCAAACTGCTGAGTTTTATACTAAAACGAAACGACCGTCCGCTACTTCCATGTTTTCAATGGTGGTTCTAACATCGATTGGTTCATGATCTCAATATGATGAATTATACGAAATAATGACTAGATGTTATTCCAGACATAATAATTTGTGGTGTAATACAAAATTGTTGTTTAATAACTAAACTTATAGAATGACAATAGTCTACTTCTTAATTAGTTTGATTATTTCATATGGACTTTTATAAGATCTGTAGATATAAAGTCAATGTAAAGATAATCATTTAACCAAGACTGTAGTAAACGAGAACCTAAGTAGGAATGACTAACTGATTGTTTAAGGCAAAATCACACAGTGGCATAATAAAATATGAAAGTCGTACATTAAATACATTGTTTGAACAACTTCTTTGAGTTGTCCTTCACATATTCTATTATTCCTCTAATTATGTTCCTATTTTGATTGCCCTCTGACATTTTTGCTGTTCTCTTTATTTCAATCTTCTGCTGCAAAGCATTCCAATTCCTATTAGTACTACATACTACTTATATCTGTCAGCCTACGTAGAATACGTCACAAGACAATTGTAATAGGATTTTTAATGAGCATAACTAAAACTATCAAATTATCCAACTAATAAGTGTATTTCAGGCATTACGTATGTATTGTGATATTTCACCTACATATTATGTAAGAATATACCATTCAGTGGTCAAACACATAAGACTGCATACTTGGTGTTGTATACACAATTATTTAAATGGCTAAAAATGGATAAATTTACAGACTTCATCTTCAACTTTAAGTAAATTGAGGTATTCAGTGAGAAACATTGGACCGGGGATTCGTGGAGGGCGGCACTTGTTATCATAGTATAACCTAAATCTCGAGAAGACTGCTGCTCCATCAAGCTTTACACTTTGAGATATTTTGACTTAGCTGATAGAATCTGGTCAACACAATCAATGTAAATATCTCACTCCGATAGGTCAGTTGTGATCAGATTAGCTTAGTAGTAACATTGTAGACTGTAGGACTATATGACAAGGGTTTGAATCCAACAATATTAAATTACTAAAATCTCCACAAAACCCACTTCTGATAATAACAATCATCAGGGGCTCACTAGTTACTCGCTTCAAGAGGTATTTCCTGGAGATCTAATAAGAAGTCGTGACCAGTGGAATTCAGCCAGGTCTGTTATGAGATAGTAACTCACTGCCGATAATAGTGGTTGAAGTTAGACATTAACACCGTTAGATGCCGATTCATTGGTTTAGTGGTTAGGCGTTCGCTCGCGAGAACGACAAGTCCTGCATTCGAATATCATGGGGCGAAATCATGGAGGCGCACCGCTAAGCTCTTCCATACTAAGATGAAACAACCGATCAGTGCTTCTAGGTTTTCCATGGTGGTCTAGCTTCAATTAACTCATGAATCCAACTATTAAAACGTTTTACAACATACATTTATAAACTATTATTTCATAATAAAATACGCTTTCAGAATTAAAAATAAAACATTGAATAGCTAAATGATAACTGTAATTAAAACAAAAGCTATACAACTCACCAGGTTGTTTAAATTCATTCGGTACAATACAACGAATAAATGAAGGACTGGTACTTTGTAAATTTTTCATTAGTTTATTCAGTGATTCCTAAATTTACACATAATTATGACAATGTTAAAATGAAGTGAAATAAAATATTGAACAAATAAAGACAAAATAATTAATTTAAAGAGGGCAAAAAAAAGAAAGAAAACCACAAAAAAAAAGGAAAAGAATATACGCATTACTATAAGTAAATAACAAACTGCAAACCAAATACCAATGATATCATGCTTGTTTTATACTAGTTCTTAGTATAATTAACTAATACAAACGCATGCATTAAGGAAAGATGAAGAAATACATGCTAATGAATTTTTTTTTGTTCAATCAATATAGTGCTAGACGATTATTACTGTTAATTATTTATATACTACTGAAATATGTTTGTAAGTAGTATAAACATATTTAACAAAATTAAATTGAAATAGTTAAAGAAATATAAAAATTGTAGCTAGTTAATAAAAATAATTAACAAGGATAGAAAAATAAAGTGACTAAGAAATCCAAGTTCAGTTGCTCAATTGTAATGTGATAGTCGCAAGATGATAGAATGGTTCCAGGTTTGATTAGGTCATGAATGAACATAGCTTAAAAATTTTCGTAATTAAAACATTATAACTCTTCAATGTAATGATGATTTTGGTATACATACATCATGAACGGATTGCCTTGATGCTACCTTAAGTCATAAGCATTATGGGCAACGATGGATGTTGACTAGTAATGATAACATCAAAGTGATCCGTACAGGATGAATACATGTCGAAAAGAGACTAATCAATTATAGTCTTAAACACAAAAACAACCAATATAAATGAATTAGACTTCACTCCATTGCACAAGTCAATGGCTATCAGTACTCAGTAGTTAATTTGATAGATAATGTGACGGTATCTGAAGTGAATATTACTGTGTTTGATTCCCAGAATAAATGACAAATGTGATATGTAGATACAATCATCTGACGAGTCCTAAGTAGTACGAAAAGTGCATTCTAGATTTCACTTCTAGTCACCATACATCTCAACTTAAATCATTGTTTTATTTTTATGATATTGAACAACTATGTTCAATTTTCATTGATAGGTAACTGTCTAACATCCAATATGGTTGAACTACGTTAGTCATTACCTCTTACTAGAACTTTAGGAATCGTCTGTTGAAAATTTGAACTTTAAAATAACATAAACATAAATACTATAGAGGGTTTTCAAGGGTTTTGAATTTTCATAGTTTTCACAACGAATTGATTTTAACTAAAAAGTCATTGAAAACCAGAAAGCATCAGATATCTTTTTCGTTCTAGTGTGAAACTTATTAGCATTGTGTATCCGCAACTTCATCCGGAGTTTGAACTCATAATTCTCAGATCTTACAAAAAAAACGTTTGATCTTCAAGCCATGAAGAAGACATCCAGTGATTGACACATTTAACTTGTATAACCGTTTTTTTTCCGATTTTATTTGAAGATAACTGTCTAATACTCAACATATTAAAATATACCTCACAATAATCTGTCAGAAAATCCAATTCTAGTTGACTTCATACTACTCATTTGAAAAAAAGACACAGTATTAAAATGAATCTATAGAGTAAATTGTAAATATATTCACAAATTCTACTGTATTCAAATTATCTACCGAGTGAAAATATTGATTTTCCGCCAAAAAATGCACTACCACTACATGTACTACAGGTATTGTTACTACCACTACTACCATAACAAGCTAACATATATATATATACACACACGCATACAAACACATACAAATACAAATATTGTATTGTGTATCCAATACATTATGAATGCAATGCATTTGTCATCTATTATTTCTTTACATATTTTCTATGAGGTAATACAATATAATTTATATTGTTACGTGCGGGATTAAGATATATGGATTGCAAAAAAAAAATTAGCGATTGGAAGATTAGTCTACAATAAATTGTGGAAAGGTACAATCAAGTCAACTAAAATTATAGGCTAAATATTTTCACTAGAGAATCTACAATATCAACAACAACAACAACAAACAAAGAAAAACATGAGTACTCTGTGAACAGCAGAAATTGTCTGCATAGCACCGCCTTTTTTACGTTTTCCACCTTCGTCTATTAGAAGATGTAGTATAGAATAAATTAAGCAAATTATATGCAAGACAAAATAAACAAACAATCAATAACATATGGGTAAAAGTAATAATGATAATAATCGTCATCATATTCAAAACAACGATCAAATTAAGTTTCACAGTTCCAGTTTGATAAAGTAATGTAGTTTATCTAAACAATTAGAAAGGGTTTTGTGGAGATTGTAATAATTTCAACAGTTGAAATCATGAGTCATTTGAAGCTATACTACCATGGAAAACCTGGAAGCACTAGACGACCGTTTCGTCCTATTGTGGGACTCCTCAGCAATGCGCATCCACGACCCCGCTTAGTTGATGTTAGACATTAACACCGTTGGATGAGGGCTAAGTGGTCTAGTGGTTAAACGCTTAGCGCAAAACTGATAGGTCTTGTGTTCGAATGTCGAGAGACGGGATCGTGGATGCGCACTGCTGAGTCCCACAATAGAACGAAACGACCATCCAGTTCTTCCAGATTTTCCATGGTGGTATAGCTTAAATTGACCCATGATCTCGACTGTTGAAATTATCTAAACAATATTAAATACCTTTCATATTGATTTCTTACGTAATTTCGTTGAAAATACTTTTTTTATTTTTAATACTTGACACCGAACGGAAACAAGCAAATCATATGATTAATTGGAGTCGAAGATGTAAGTGAATGAAAACAATCGACTGAGTTGTTTTCAAAATAAGAAAGGAAAAGAAGATTCAAGATATAATATTATGTAATAATAAATTGACCTTATGTTATCATTAATTTAATTTATGATTCACTGTATGTTTACAATGAGCATGCTTAAGCATTTAAAGCCAAAATAAATTGTAAATAATAATAATGCAGTAAATTTATATCGTTTGAATAGACAATGAGATTATAATTTATGGACGATCTTTGAGTGATTCTAAAGTGATCTACAGAATATCTATTTACTTCCTAAGGTTAAATAAAGGTTATAAACTAGTGTGAGGAATTAAAATTATGATTTACAATTCATGGTTAAGCTTAGGTATTAGATTTAAAGTTTTTATCATATATTGACATTAACTAAACTGACTAAAACACATAATTGATTAATCACTAGGTGGTGATTAAACAGATCAAATCCTATCGACGCAATATAGAGTTGCTTAGATTAGTCCTAAAGGGAGTCAGTCACCGCCCAAATATCCCAGTGGTAACGTCTCTGACAATGAAACTAGATGACATGGAGTCGAATCCGTCAGTTCCTTCAATATTACAGGTACATCTTACTGACAAGTGCCAACTAGTACAAAACCTGAATCTACAATTTCATATTGACTACCAACAATCACTATCTTGATTAAAACACTATTTAATCAAATGGATAAATGAATCAATGATTTATTACTCTAAATCTAATTAGATCGTCCATAAATGATAGTCTCATTGAATATACCATAGTCTTTGTATTCATTCTATATATATGAAAATAAAGATGAAGCAAATTGTATTATAGTTTCATATTTTTCTCTTTCGAAAATGCATATTATAGCAACATATGCAAGGATAATTCACTTAGATTCTTTTTTTTAATGATATCACTAATCGATATTATATTGATTTGTGTTTTTTGTGTTGTTTTTTTTAAAGCATCAGCAAGCAGATAATAAATTAGTCAGCAAAATATGCCATAGCAACATAACAACAGTCCAATAAGATGAGATAGATCAGCATACGATTTAAATGATTAGCTTATATATTTGGATGCTGCTATTATTGTTGTTGTTGTTCTTATAATAATAATTACCCTGTGCATGTAGGTCACTGTCAAGAAAGAGCCACCTTTCGTCTTTTTACCAGGTTCACCTATATACATGTATATATACATACATACATACATACATAGATAGATAGATATGTATTTTTTACAAATATAAAATAAGAATTTGCCTCATATTAAAAGATTAAATAAAATGAATTAAAATTAGGCGCTCAATGGATACTTAACATTCTATGTTTGAATCCTAATATGAACATGATCATAGCCCATAACACAAATCATATGATTTGTGTGATACATATGTAATTGGTGTCCCCTTTTGTACCAGTATTTATATATGCTCAAATAAAAAATAAATTAGGTGAACATCAGCATCTATAGTTCCAACTGATGAGGCTTAAATAGGACGAAATATATTTCCTAGATTTCACTGATAGTCTCATACTAGATGTTATTATTTTATTTTTGATTATTTTTTGATGAAAAATAGTATGTTAGTCATCTAATTCGTTGTTTATAATTTCATATCTACATACAGGTTCAATAATATTCACCGCACCATAACTTAATCTCTAATGAACATAAATAATTACGTAATAGTTTTATTCTATTTTTCAACTTCGTAATCGATTTCATACCTTAGTAAATGAATAAAATTTCTGTGAATATCAGTTATTCAGGTGCTGTATGAACCTTTATCTACTAAAGTGTGACTTCTCGTGGCAGGGGTGTTGTTTATGAAATTGGGAGGACGAAAAGCGAATGTCTGGCGCTTTAACCGGATTCCAAACCAATGGTGTACATGGGCACCAGTATCCTGAGGGAACAAATGGCGTATGAATCAATTGTTGGTCACCGGATACCGTGGGACTGCATCTCCTCACGATGCTCCACTGCCTTGTGGGTCAGACTTTAAGGTCAACGGCTCAGGGTGTGGCCCCCTCAGAGAACCACCTGCTTCGGTCTGAGAACCCAGTCAGTATCACAGTCCTCACACAAATCGAATGATTTATGTGGCGCATATCTTGTACCAATATTTATGTGTTTAAATAAAAATAATAATAAGTAAAAGTGTTTAGAACACATGTTACTAATATCTAGCCATTATCATTCTTGAATAGACATGGTTAATAGTAAAGAAAGAATCAAGTTGGAAAATGTTATTAAAGTCCAAATCACTAAAAACTTTTAAGTTGAGTAATTACGAAATAAGAAATTGATTCTTGTTACTTCGATAGTATACAGTCAGTATATGAACTACGGTTAAAAACAAAAACAAAAACTTTATTCTAATAAAATAATATTCATTAGAAAACTCCTTAGTAACTATAGAGTACTTTTCAACTTCAATATTTTTTCTATTGAATCTTCCCAATTCGATGTGTCAAACAATTATTGATTTTTTTTTTCGAAAAATAGCGTTCATTATAATTAAGAACCCAAATGTAACATTGATCAATCAATCAATCTCCTGGTACTATTGGAAGAAGATATCTCTTTGAACATCATGGATCATATTTAGTAGTTAAGTCATGATTTCCGATAAAAGGTTTTCTTGAATAATTAGCCATTTATATCTTTCTTTTTAAAATACTACTTAAAAGATACTAATTTCAGTAGCTATTACTATCAACTACTGTTCTTCTAATAAGGTATTTGTTAACAAGTTTAAAAATCTAAATAAACAAATCAAATATGTAATACTACTTATATAACTAAATTACAGATAACTTCATCTTATAATAAAAACTAAAGAAAATAGTAATGATTCAATTGTAATTGCTACAAGAGATTGAACTGCATAATGGTGCACATGGACTCTAGTATCCTGAAGGAACAAATGATGTATGAACCAATTGTTGGTCATCGGCTATCATGGGACTGTATCTCTTTATGATGCTCTACTGCCTTCAGGTCAAAGGTTGTAAGTGTGACCCCCTAAGAAAACCACCTGTTGCGGTTTGGGCACCCAGTCAGTATCACAGTCCTCACATAAATCAAATGAGTTTTGTGTGGCGAATATGTATCTGGTGCCCTCTTGTATCAATATCTATGTGTTCTAATAAACAAATGAAAATAAATAATCATTGAAAATTAGAAATCGTGAAACTCGAGAGATCATGATTTCAATCTTAAATGGAATCATTATTGAGTTCTGTACATAATTCCAACATTGAAATAGTTAACTTGTGTTGCCAGGTTATTTTTTTTTATTAATTGCCTGAATCATATCCGTTTTTGGGGTGCAAGCTATTATGCTTTTGCTATTAAACTCTTTAATCGTTCTAATGTCATTTTATTTATTCATCATTTCATTTATAATAGTAAATAAATACTTACCGACAACTGGAGTAAATAGATTGGATACTAAAGGATCTTTACTACCACCTAATAATGCAACTACACTGTCATTAAGTGGATCTTTATTCTTTTCTAACCATCCAGTTATTGTGTATGGAACCTAGAAAAATGATAAATTATACGAAGAAAAAAAGAGTGAATACATTGTTTTTTTCAAATTGAATAGTTACATAAAGGGAATATATAAAAAGCAGGGATTATAAACGTTTTCTTATCTTCTGCAAAGTCACTGCAAAGTAAAATTGTAAACAAAATTACTAGTAAACTATGAAAATAAAAAGATACCTGAAATGCCCTACTTATCATTCAGGGAAATCATGGACGGCTGTTTTACGCTTATATGAGCCTCGTCGACAGTACTCATTCACAAGCCACGCATATGATAATCGAATACAGGAACTTCGGTTTAACGCGTGAACTTTTCATGATATTCATGAAACCCAACAATCTCCACAGTCACATACTGAGAACTGTATTGTTCACATGAAATAATGCTGCGAATTTCATTGGGTACAAATAATTTATTGCATATAGAAATACAGTTTTTGTTTTAACAAGACAAAACCACATGGATATATATATATATACTTACAGATCCAGCATAATGGTGCAATTCGAAGTGAGCTTCTACATGTCCTGGCTTCGGAGGCTTCGGTTTGGTGAAATTAGGGCTTTTACCTAAATGATTATCATATAATTTCGACAAGAATGTTTGATCCGAAGCTTTGGGAACGATGCATTCTTCTTCTAGAATGGACAAGATACCCATAGGCTAGAAAAAAATGAAGAGAACAAAAAAACAAGTAATGTTTGCAAACATTGTTAAACTGAAATATAATGTATTTTTATTAAATTTTTTATGTTAATAAACTGCCCATATGTTAACTAGTGATTAATTTTAAGAGCTAATTAACCGGGCTCTGATAAGACGTTACAAACAGTGGAGTTCAACCACATCAGATTTGAGGTAATTAGTTATCAATAGCATTAAAAGACGGTTGCGCAACAACTTGAATTGGTTGAAGCTAGACTTGTAAACGATTGGATCTTAGGTCAGTAGCCTAGGAAACAAACGCTATAAGCAGGAATCGGTAGACATTAATTCAACAGAACAGCTATTCAGACAACACTAGTTTCCAATGGTTATCTAAATATGATCAGTCTGTGATGAATAGATGGAGTAAAAATTGTCAAATCAGTCAGTTCATTCTTTTTTTCAGAGTTAGAAAACTGACTCGTAAGACGGATAGTTTACACAGATTCATTAGCTATTTATTATACCCAAATTCATAGAATTGATATGACTACTGACTAACGATTTATCCTAATACTTGGAGCAAATCGTTTCTGAAATGTATCCAGAAATATAATCAGTAAGGTATTAGAACAAGAGTATAAACACAGAGAAAAATCTAAGCTATTATCTGTCCATTCATTTGTAAGCTGTTCAAAGGCTATCAAATGGCAAGTCCTGGACATTCATCTTGTACTATTTGAAACTCATCAATTATTGTTAAGGAAATTATGCTTCCTTTCAGATTGGGATCTTCAGCATTCTGTTTGGACTGGTTAGTAAATCTACAGCGCTCGATGATTTATTCTAGAGGCTACACTAAAAATTATACAGATAGAATTTAATCATTCTCAGATAGTTGGTGAACTTGTTTGTTTCGAATTAATCATTTCACAGCTACTTCTTTTTAATGTTTAGCGATAAACTACTTAATGACAATAAGTAGCCTGATTCTATTAGGGTGTTTCTAACTTTTGCATATTCTTGCGCATTAATACCTCATGATGAATTACGCGAACACGATATAAACTTTATCTTCCTATTGTATTGTTTGGCTTCATTCGTAATGTTATGGAAGCTTTTTTTCCATTCTTTCCTCGTTCAGTTTACCTGTATAAACTAAACTTTTAAGCCTTGCTTACACAGAACAATTTGCCTATTGCCATTAATTGACGTTTCAGTTCAACATAGACAAGTACTGGTTTCTGGTTTTTAAAACAACGATAGCATTGTACTTTTTCTAATTGTTTGAAAAATACATTTCTCTCATCTACGCTTTAAAAGTTTTACTTTATGCCCTGAAATCTCATTATTTGTGTTTTATCTGAAGTATTAGAATTTATTTTGGTTCCTATGACGGTGCTGCACTTTGAACAAACCGTTTTAGTTTTATTTTACGATTTCTGCGTATGAATAACTTCCAGCATCAGAATACTCGTAGTTTGAAAAAATGGATAATTTACCTTTTCAATTAAATCTATACAAGCTTGCAAATCCATACCGAAATCAATAAATGTCCATTGAATCTTTTCACGTTTATATTCTTCTTGTTCTAAGACAAACATATGATGGTTGAAGAATTGTTGTAGACGTTCATTCGTGTAATTAATACAGATTTGTTCAAAACCATTTTCCTTGGATAATGAAAAAAGGTTAATACGAAGGTGAACAGAACTTATCAAATCATGAAGTCACAAAAATGAACTAACAATGAATAGAATATCAACCATAATTAGTAGTTAGAGGTAGTTAGTATGGATATCCTGGATCTGCATTTCATACTAGTTGGGACTCTTCAACAAGGTATATTGGCAATGTTGAAGAGTTATTGCCTTCTGTGAGTTTCAAACCATAGTCACTTAGTTTCATAATTCCAAACTTCATGACTGTTATATTCCAAATAAAATTGCTCACCTACATGGCTAGGAAACTCACAACTGAGGGATCACTGAATAGTGACCAATATCATGTTTGCCTAGTCGTATAGCACTACAACTACATGACTAGACAAACGTGACATTAGTTTTTACTCAGCGTACATTCAGTGTTAAATCTGAAATAATATCACTCAAGTAAGAGATAAATAATCAAGGGTTTGGGTAATATATATGATTAGAAGAAAGTTCTTGGATTCATAAAGTTGGTTATCATCTGGAATACAAAAGATTAAAAATGTTATAAGTCCACACCACATAAGAAATATGGATTTGAAGAAGGACTTCTATTACGATTATAAACACTTCATAGATTTCATTAGTCAGTATGTCATTGCAATTTGTGTAACCAATAATTGTTCGACGTTTTGAAGGTTTTGTATTCTCGATAATTGGACACAAACAAACTCATTAAGGTTAATTAATAAAAAATCTCCATCAACATCCCAAGGCTATAAATATTCTCCTTCATCTCAGTTGTTAAACTGTTTGGAAAATTACAAGGCTTGAGTTACTTCTATAATACTCATCAACAAATAAACATTGTCATTGTTATTAATTGTAAAAATTGAATGAACCTGTTAATCAATTGAGTCAACTTCCTTACTGTTATTGTTCCGATGAGTATAATGAATGGTAACTTTTTGGACCCATTCATGGACCAATACTATACATATATTTTTATCGTCTAATTGTTATGTAACTAAACTGTTCATATTCATGTCCCTATTATTACGAGTTTTATTTTGGCATATGAACTATTGTTATACGATTTACCATTCTTGAGGTATGCCCTGTCTATCATTTAATATCTCCCACATTCACAGTCACATTTGGCTAATTCTTGTACAAATGTTATTTTTTATTTTATGCTACGATGTGGTCTGTCTGGTTGGTATATAAACCTAGTGTGTTTGAAATAAATGATTGATATTGCAGAAGCTGAGATTGGTGTTCTGGACTTAACTGGCTAGGCTAGGCAGGAAGCGGGACTGATAGGAACTCTAGACTGCTCGTATATGGTTTTATGCCTCATTGGACTGGTCGATAAATTATCGTTCTTTAATTGATGGTATCATCACGTTATACACTAACAAGACATACAGGCCACAAGTTATACTACTTACAAACAGTAATAATAGTAATAATAATAATAAAACTTACAGTGAAAATCTCAAAACCTGCAATATCCAGTACACCAATGAAAAATTGACGTTTAACTTTTGTATCCAAAGTTTTATTGACACGAGCGACTAACCAACCAAACATACGATTATACAGAGATTTAGCTAATGCGCTGACTGCATATGTAACCTTTTGTTGAAATAAAATGAAAATTTATTATCTTTATTATTATTAAAAGAGAATATGATAATGTTATAATTATTACGGATAACATAAAACTGTAAGAGAGTAGTTCACTGAGGAGTTTCATAGTAGGATGAAACAGTTCTTCAAACCCATTATTCTAATAAAAATTGATCTTAGCAACTATATAGTCGATTATAAACTAAGGTTTATCCAACTAAACATTTTATGCATCTAAACTAACTAGTCACTAAGTAATGCCCAATGTCATGTTTGTTTAGTTCTTAGTGGTAATATAATTTGATTGATCAAGTTGTAGTTTGATCTTAAATCTGAGAAACTAGACATTATATTTACTATGTTTTTAACGTTAATTAGTTACAGGGTTTTGTGTCAACAATCTCTAATCAACTCATATTATATAACTGGTTCTACTTTTTAACCTCCACTTGTGGAGTGCTAATTTACAGCAAATCTTTACCTCAGTGGTCCATGCACTCTTAAGGTTTCTCGTCAAAGTGAGTAGATTTCTTAATTAAACACTATTGATGTCCCCATTAGTAGCTAGGTTCTAAATGAAGAAGTGTTAAATTACAAAATCGATGAAATCTCAGGTACGATGATGATTCATTCACAATATGAGCTGCTATTCATGTTTTAAAGCAAAATCCATGAAATAGTTTCAATAGTATCACTTTTTGACGAAACCTATCATCAGATAGACATGAAAAAGCGACTGACATTATCCGCTACGTTTTCGATGTTTGCTTGACGTTTGGTAAGCAGTAATGTCGGTCATTCTACTGCTCATTTAGAGTGTTTAACTATATATTGGTGTAGTTTTTATTAATAGTTTCATTTCAAGCCCCAAAGCTTACATACAGAATGCTATACACGTTTAAGAAGAACTTTGCGAATAACTCCACCCTCTTGGAACCAAACGGGTGTTAAAATCTCACGTTAATGTGTACCATTCATTTACTAAATAAACGAGAGAATGAATGGAAGCATTAGGAACACCACAATTATTGAACATTGAAAATGTTTTAGAGAACCGCAGCTATACAAACATTTAAACATTTTAGGAGTTTACTGAAGGAATAAACCGCCAACTAACTGGATAATTCCACACAAGATGAGACACTTATTACCAATTCAAATCAGAGTACGATTTAGGCACTATTTAGAGGTTGAAAATTAATATCGATATATGATGTGAGACATATTAAGCGTTACTCAATAATATATAGCCACAGTTAAGCAATTAACTCTGCTTAGAGCCTGTGTGGTGCTACAGCCGGTCCCAAGCAAGGATAAAAGAAAAGGATTGTGTATGATGTTAGCGACCGAACCCCGTAGAAAACCAACTCGCTAAAACGTGCTAACGAGAAAAAATAATTCAAACCGTCAAGTAATTGGAATTATGAATTTCTTTTCACGAAAAAAATGTAAATGTAAATATTCATTTGTGAACATCAACTCTGGGATGCAGGTACATCCAGCTGACGAGTCCCATATAAGACGAAATGTGAGTCCTCGATTTCACTACTAGCTACCATCCATTTTTCCTTATAATGCTTGTGAATTAAGGTTATATTAAAGCGATTCGCACAGGATGCCCATATACCAATAAGAGACTGATCCATTCAAGCAAATGAATTGATAATTAGTTATTATAATTTCATTATGGATTACTGTTCATCAATAAAAATTTACTAACTTGATTTAAATTTTGACCTTTAGTTACAAATTCTGTACCAACTTTAACTTTTGGTTTTAAAAATGAAGTTAATAGATCTTTTGCATTAACACCTAAAAGAAATGCAACTTTTTCCGCTTCAGCTGTTCCATCAGCTTCAGCTTGTTCTTCTCTTGGTCTTTGTTTAAATTTCATTTCACCCATATTACAAATTGATGTAGTACATTTGAATAATGATAATTTTTCATCATCATTAAATCCAAGAACGTCAAAAGCTTCCTAAGAACAAAAAAAAAAAGGAAATGGTAAATAATAAGTGAAGGATGTGATAAAACAAAAGTTATTTCCTGGAGTTCTAGTGAGAAGTGGTGATCAGTGGAATTCAACCCGGTCAGATAGCAACTCTCTGATGACAATAATGCATGTGTCGCTCAATTTCGTGGATTGGTTAAAGTTAGACAATAACACCGTTATATGCCGGCTCAGTAGTCTAGTGATTGAGCGCTCGCGAGTGAAACTGATAAGTTCTGGGTTGGAATCTCGAGAGGCACTGCTGAGGAGTTCCATACTAGGACGAAACGGCTGTCCAGTGTTTCCAGGTTAACAATGGTGTTCTAGCTTACATCGATTCATGAATTCAACAATTAAATGACTATGATATCCACAAAACCCTTCTCTGATTATAAAAGGAATATATGTATTTTTCAAATAATCAAAGTAAATTTTAGTCAGGATGATACGTTGGACGAGTTTGGACACATCATGTGTTTGTACTACTCTATTAAATTAATTCGGTTTCGCAATTATAACTTTCTAGTCATTTCTTAATCTTCTCATTTGTATAACAGGTTGAGCAAGCTCATGGAAAACATATGTATATAAAGCTGAATTAGACAACCATGGAAAGTAATTAACAATGGGCTATCAACTCATTTACGCTAATATTTACAGAATATTCTTTATTCATCTTACAGAAGCCTAATTAAAGTTGACTGAAATGACAACGTAGAAACCTTCTATGTAATCCATTTCACTATCCTAATTTAATTTCATGAAATCACCAATCGAACTGTTAACTAACTATATAGTTAACTTCTACATTGATCATCAATCAGGCTGTACATTTGTCTATCGGTTTCAGGAGGTATGAATATATTTCCCTAAGTGAATTTTTTTTACAATATTATAAAGCTTAATAGTGTGTAGATACTCCTTTGGAAACTGAACGCATTAGAATACATGAAGCATTCGAAATCTATTCTTTCCTAATAGTCCCAAAGGTTGTTTTTTTCTCTTTGAATATTAATTTAAAAAACGTTTTGTTAAATTATACTTGAATATTGAACATGATCATCTTAGAATAACTTTGAGGCTTTATATCATTGATTAGCTAATGAACAGATTGGAACGCATAATCTGTCATAGGATGAGACTTTTTTTGTTCTTTCAAGGTATTTGTTTCTAGAGATTACTCACTTCGTAATAGATAATTGTAAGTCATTCTTAGATTTCATATCAAAACTTACAAACCTGTGTAATTCGGTAGGACAGCATAGTTTGAATGTACCATTTACTCGGATACATAAAAGTTGTGTTAACCAAACAAGATGAAGTACAGCATAGTTATTTATACGAAATTTAGAAATGAATTATAGAACAATCTATTGTTACACCATGGTTTTCAGCTCAAATCAATTTATGTCATTGAAATCTTTAGTTTATTAAACAATCATCTTGATATAAACTCCGCCAGCAGACCATCTAGGATTATTCCTGCTCTCAAGCCCGGATAAAGGAGGAGGATTAGGTTTGGGGTTAACAGCCCCATTCAGTAGAAAAACAATTCTGTTAAGAAAGGGCTAACCAGAAAATATCAGTTTAACCATTTAAACTCTGATCTAAGAGTAAGTAAGTAACTTGATAGATAAACAATTACTATTCAGTTAAACTTACATCGCACAATTTCATTTCTTCACTATCATCTACACCATCAATAGTTAACTCTCCTTGATTAATGAAACTGTATAAAGCAGGATCAGTTTGAACTAATAATTTGTCTAAAAAGCAAATATAAAAATAATCATAATTAACTATTAGTGATCAACTCAATGGTCTAAAAGTTAAACCTTATCTGTAATATCTTAAGTTCCTAAACTCTATCCTATGTGATGGAATCATGGATGGACATCTATGAAAGCTTTCATACGAGAACAAAACACTTGTCCAATGCTTCCTAGTTTCCAATGATTATCTAACTAAGATAAGTTCATGTTACAAATCATTCAATAACTTAACTATTATTCATCAAAATGTTCAATGATAATAATAATAAACCTCATAGACATATTCCAAAGGAGAAAGAAGAACTTACCATGATATTTTGAACCATATGTTGATAATAATTGGTAGAAAATATGATAATTACGTTCTCCTTTCATTTGTGAAACTACACGAGATTTCTCAAGCAAATCTTTTAGAAAAAAAGAAAAAGAATTGATTAGTTATACAATTATTTTTTTTATAATATCACAAGGGGTTTTTGTGGATATTATAGTAATTTCAATAATTGAGATCATAAGTCAATTGAAATTAGGCCATCATGGAAATCCTGGAAGAATTGGATGCTCGTTTCATCCTATTGTGATGCTTCTTCTGATATTAATCAACATATGCTCCCTAGTGACTGGCTTCAAGATGTATATCCTGAAGTTCTAGTGAGAAGCTGTGATCAGTGGAGTTCAACCAGGTCTGTTGTGAGATAGTAACTCACTGAAGACAATGATGGATGTGTCCTTCAATTTTGTGGATTAGTTGAATTTAGACATTAACACCGTTAGATGCGGGCTCAGTGGTCTAGTGGTTAAGCGCTCGTGCGGGGAGGGAGATAGTGCATGCGCACTGCTGAAGAGTCTTACAAGACGAGGAAACGGCCATCCAATGCTTTCAGGTTTCCCATGGTGGTCTAGCTTTCATTGACTCATGATCTGACTTATTGAAATCATATTTTTTTGTTGTTGTTAAATTCACAACTTACAATGTTCAATATCAGCTCCAGCGATTTTACCAGTTGTACCAAAGTGAATACGAATGAATTTTCCCTAATTTGAAAAAAAAAAAAAGAAAAATAATATTTATCCTTATCTAGAAAATGTATAATAACTTACAAATCTAGATGAATTATTATTTCTTGTCGTTTTTGCATTACCATATGCTTCTAGAACTGGATTAGCTTGAACAATTTGATCTTCAAGTGTTCCCTAATGAAAGAAGAAAATAAAAAAAATATTTCAATAAAGAACAAAATAATGTTCAATAATAAATAGATATTCACAGTGAAATAAAGATCTAGTTTTATAAGCTTATGCATCAACTTACTTGACTATCAAAATGGTTTCTTGAATTAATGTAAGGAGTTATTGATGACGTAAATTTCATAGTTTGCATCAAGAATTGATCTTAGTTAGGTAACGGTTTAAAATTAGAAAATACTGGATAGCTATTTTGTCTTAGTTGGGGAACTTCATACCATTGTTCATCCACGACTCTTCTATAGCGGGCCGAACCCAAGATATTCAGATTTCATGACTAACACTTAATCATTATGCCATTAAGTTATTACCTAGTGCTTTACATTTTCAACCTCAAGGAAGAAATATCTGTTCAGTACTTCTGTAAAGCATGCTTAAAAAGAAATAATCTCATTAAATAATATGAATGAACGAATTATTGAATGTATGCATTCAATTCAGTGGTCAAGAGGTTAAGCGTTCGTGTGTGAGACCGAAGGTCCTGGGTTCGAGTTCCACGTGTGGAATCGCGAATGAGCATTGCTAAGGAGTCTCATATCAAAATGAAACAGCTGTCTAGTGCTTCCAGGTTTTCTATGATGGTCTAACTTTAATTGACTCATGAATTAAACTATTAAATTACTACAATATACACAAAACCCCCTTTCTGATGATTAATAAATAACTAGTGACAATGTAAGCTAACCTTACAATAAATAAAAAAATTTTATATAACGCTCATTATACGCCTATCTGGTTAGTAAATTTGTTTGGAAAAATCCTAATCTCACTAATCAGATTCATTAACTTCAAGGTAGATTGTAACTATATAAACATATAAAAACTTGATTTGAATATTCGATTATATTGCCAACATTTCTAGTTGTTCTTGATTCAAGCTTCTTGGAGTGATCTAAATTTAAAACCGGTGAGAGTATAATCTATGAACGACCTTTGAGCGACGCTAAAGTGGCTTTGAGAGTGTTCACCTACTGATTGGGGCTAAATGAGGATTTTAAACCTGTGTGAACGATAAGGATTTTGATTTACATTTGATGGTTAGGGATAAGGATTAGATTTTAATGGTTCCATCACAATCTGACATCAACTAAAATGCCAAAACTCTATTTAACCAAAATAGATGAGTGAATTTCGCGCCGAAATCCAAGATCTGTTATCGTAAATCTAATTGGTTTGTTCATAAATTATAGTCTCGCCCATAATGCTGTAATGATCACAAAGATGTTTAATCTTTCTACTTCACAACACAATAGATACTGATGAGATTGTTCAAAATGATAATGATCAATCTGTCATCTATCTCAAACAGTATAGCAATAATAGAAATATAGTTCTATGTATTTAAGAGACACTAAGTTATTTCATATAATAAAATAATGAAATAATGTTTGTTTATTATTTTTCATTATCTCAAATACAAACCTTTTTACTAGCATCATCATCTTCTTTCTTTGAAGCTGCTGCAACTACAGCAAAATATGAAATAACTTTCTTTGTATTTTCTGTTTTTCCAGCACCACTTTCACCTCTGTTTTAATAAAGAAAAAGATAAATATATCGTGTGAAATTGATTTTAAGCATTTGATTATAACTATTTTGTAGTGTAATAGGCAATTTTCCCAAATTTGCATGTCAGATGTATATGTGTGTGTGTACGTGTGAATACGTAAAAATAATCAGATTTCTGTTCACTTGTTGTTGTTGTTGTTGTTTTACTCATATCTTCCCATTGTTATTTAGGACTGCGAATGATCATGTTGGCATGTTGGCATATGTGCATCCAGTACGGATTGCCTAGATATAGCCTTAAGTCATAAACTTTTTAAGCAAAGATGGATAGTGGCTAGCAATGTACCTGCAGGTATATCCAACTGACGAGTCCCAAATAGGGTGAAACGAGCGTCCTGGACTCCACTTCTAGCCACTACCCATCATTACTTATAATCAGATTACTGTTGGCCAAAATGAATTCGCCCTAATATTTTGAAAAAATTATGAAATTATGACTTGAAATAGTTTAGATTCTCAATGTAGAGACTGACTTGATCATTTTCTTTTAGTTAGATATCAACCATTATTGTTCACGCTGCAGTACACTTGAACAGCTATATATGCTATTATGATAAGATTGACTTTTAATAATCATTCCAAGTTTGAGGATATAGAGGATCGTGTTATGCAATATACTGATTTGAGTAGAAAGTGGTTCAAGTGTCAATGTTTGAAAGTCCTACGTTCTATCATATATTGGGTTGTGGGTGCATATTACATAAGTTTTGTCTTTTGGAAATGCGAAATCCTTAAATACAATTATCATTATCTTCGAGAACATATAGTTTATCTATACTTCATCTATATCTATCTTCGCTGAACTAACAATATTTATAAATAGTTTTGTTCACAAATTTGACTAAGCTTTATTGACTGTCATTCAGGTCATAACTAACCACCTCTACGATTAAGATACTTATAAATGATCTATTACTGATTAGTAATTAGTGTCATATCTGTCTAGTCTCCTTGAAAGATGAACATTCTATCGATAAATATTTCTAACGGCAGAAATGATGTAAGCCTCCTGTTTCTTACAGAACTGATTATCACTCGGTGAAAAATCATACATTCTACTATAATTCCTTTTAACTATCTAACATTATAGTTCCACAACTAATCCAGTAAAGTCATCAGGACATAGAACAAAATTTCATTTTAAATACATATATCAGAATGGGTTTTGTGAAGATTGTAGTAATTTCAACAGTTGAGATCATGAGTCAATTGAAGCTATTTAGTTAAGCGCCTGACGCGAGACCGATAGGTCCTGGATTCGAATCCCGCGAGGCGAGGTCGTGGATGCGCACTGCTGAGGAGTCCTACAATAGGACCTAACAGCCATCCAGTGCTTCCAGGTTTTCAATGGTGGTCTAGCTTCAATCGACTCATGATCTCAACTGTTGACATACATATATATGTTATCAAAAATAAATTTCGTGTGAAGTTCAAATATATTAAAAACAAGAAACTTACGTAATCAGAATGGATTGATTTTCACGATCTGTTGAAAATGAATTAAAATAAAACAATAAGAATACAATTATCGTTTTTCTTTCAATAGAAAACAAACAAACAAACATTGAATAAGTAATGATGGATAGTGGCTAGCAGTCGAATCAAGTTTGATGCGCGTTTCGTCCCATTTGGGACTCATCAGCTGTATGCACCTGTATCACAGAGATATTCACTCTGAGACTTGAATAAGTTGTTAAAATGAGGTAAATTATATGAAAACACTTTTATTTAAATAAGATTAACATTTATAATGATGAATAAACTAGAAAAAGAATAAATGAATAGTGACTAACCTTGTAACATATTATGATAAGCATTATCAGAAATTGAAAAAATATGTGGTGGCATTTCACCACGTCTTTTTCCTTTATATTTTAATGCAACTTGTTCCGTATAAATTGGAAAACGTTTATAAGGATTAACGGCTACACAAAATAATCCTGAATAAGTCTAAAACAAAAAATGAAGTAGTTAAAGTAAATAGTTTTTTGACTAGTAAAATGTAAGACAAAAAAAATGACAATAACTTTGTTGTAATGATTTTTAATCACTTAAAACTGTTATATCCTGATGAGAATAATGAATGGTAACTGTCGAAAACTATTTCTGAACTAATACTATACGTACATATTCTTATTGTATAATGTGGTGTGTGCTACTTATATTGACATAAGTAGTATATAATGTTAGTCGTGAACAAAAGGTCTGGCAGCAGACAGACAAGTCGATAGAACAGTAAAGAATGGAAACACAGAATGCAATTGTATGAAAATTCAAGAACAATAAAGTCTGAGACAATGGGTGGATATTTTGTAAATTAAGCATTTAGCTTATGATTATTAGATTTTATTAACAAGTGCTATAATTTTGTGTTAAATACATTCGATTGTTCCCCACTAGTGTTCGTGTTCACCACAATAATAGTTAAGTAATTAAACTGATCATATTTGTGTCCCTCTTATCATGAGCTTTATTTTTACGATTTACCATTCTTGAGGTATGCCATGTCTATCATTTAATATCTCCCACATTCACAGTCACATTTGGCTAATTCTTGTACAAATGTTATTTCTTATTTTATGATACGATGTGGTCTGTCTGGTTGGTATATAAACCTAGTGTGTTTGAAATAAATGATTGATATTGCAGAAGCTGAGATTGGTGTTCTGAACTTAACTGGCTAGGCTAGGCAGGAAGCGGGACTGATAAGTACTCTAGACTGCTCGTATATGGTTTAATGCCTCATTGGACTGGTCGATAAATTATCGTTCTCTAATTGACAGTGTCATCACATTATACATTAATAGGACACAGATTATAACAGAAAACAATATAAATAGCAAACTTATTTACTTATTTATTTGAACACATAAATAATGGTACAAAGGGACACCGAATACATATGCAACATACAAGTCACTTTATTTGTGTAAACAATACCCCTGCCACAAGAGGGCAGTGAATAGAACTTCCCTGGCAGTCACTGTATACGTGTCGCCACGTGAGAGCATTTCTATAGGAAGAGTGGACTCTCCCCACTCCGGCAGTACGAGGGCATTTGGGATACAGATTACTAAATTGCATATATTTGAAAGCATATTATTTGTGAAGATGTGGTTGAAATCTGTTATGTCCCGTCAAGAATAATGAATGGTAACTTTTGGGATCCATTTATGAACCAATACTAAACGTATGTTTCTATCGTGTAATTATTAAGTAAGTAAAATATGCATATTCATATTCTTCTTATTACAAGCTTTATTTTGAATCTTAAACTATTATTACACGTTCTACCATTCTTGAGTTATACTCAGTATATTTATTTCTACCTGCCTCATTCACAGCCAAATCTGGCTAATTCTTGTACAAATGTTGTTTCATATTATATTGGTACGTTGTGGTCTGTCTGGTTGGTATATAAACCTAGTGTGTTTGAAATAAATGATTGATATTGCAGAGGCTGGTGTTCTGGACTTAATTGGCTAGGCTAGACGGAAAGCAGGACCAATCAAGACTCCAGGATGCTCATACGGATTTACGCGCCATTGATCCGATTAATAAGTCACTATCCTCTAATCGGCAGTAACAAGTTATAACAAAATCAAATGAAAACATTTTTTTTCGTGACAATCACCTTGCAAATTATTTAAGAAATATATACTTCGTAAAATCTAGTCGTTTATAGGAATTTACTTCCCTGGTAACAACGACGAAACTCTTCACGAATATGAAATATATATATATATGACTTCTTTCGATAATGATGGAAACAACACTATATATATAGCAGTATTGTATAAGCTAATAAATTACTAAAGCTTATATACTACACTCATTGTTAAGCTTGAAATCAGTTTACATTTTATAAAATTTCTATAACCTAATTATAAAGTATCATTGGGAGTAACAGGCGTAAGTAAGTAAGTAAGTAAGTAAGTAAGTAAGTAAGTAAGTAAGTAAGTAAGTAAGTAAGTAAGTAAGTAAGTAAGTAAGTAAGTAAGTAAGTAAGTAAGTAAGTAAGTAAGTAAGTAAGTAAGTAAGTAAGTAAGTAAGTAAGTAAGTAAGTAAGTAAGTAAGTAAGTAAGTAAGTAAGTAAGTAAGTAAGTAAGTAAGTAAGTAAGTAAGTAAGTAAGTAAGTAAGTAAGTAAGTAAGTAAGTAAGTAAGTAAGTAAGTAAGTAAGTAAGTAAGTAAGTAAGTAAGTAAGTAAGTAAGTAAGTAAGTAAGTAAGTAAGTAAGTAAGTAAGTAAGTAAGTAAGTAAGTAAGTAAGTAAGTAAGTAAGTAAGTAAGTAAGTAAGTAAGTAAGTAAGTAAGTAAGTAAGTAAGTAAGTAAGTAAGTAAGTAAGTAAGTAAGTAAGTAAGTAAGTAAGTAAGTAAGTAAGTAAGTAAGTAAGTAAGTAAGTAAGTAAGTAAGTAAGTAAGTAAGTAAGTAAGTAAGTAAGTAAGTAAGTAAGTAAGTAAGTAAGTAAGTAAGTAAGTAAGTAAGTAAGTAAGTAAGTAAGTAAGTAAGTAAGTAAGTAAGTAAGTAAGTAAGTAAGTAAGTAAGTAAGTAAGTAAGTAAGTAAGTAAGTAAGTAAGTAAGTAAGTAAGTAAGTAAGTAAGTAAGTAAGTAAGTAAGTAAGTAAGTAAGTAAGTAAGTAAGTAAGTAAGTAAGTAAGTAAGTAAGTAAGTAAGTAAAGTAAGTAAGCAAGTAAGTAAGTAAGTAAGTAAGTAAGTAACTATAAAGTGCAAAAATTATTCACTAATAACAATCAAATGAAACTTACATAAATCAATTGTCTATAATAACGTGCACGTAAATTCTCCAAAACAGAAGCATCATTTAAATGTGTCAAATTAGCCATATCTTCAATTAAAAAGAATTTCGGTGGATTAACTTGTTGTGCATCATCTTTTTTAACTTTCTTTTCCTGTTCAAATAAAAAATGAATAATGTTAATGAAATCATTTAATAACCATAGTAACAGCAAGAAGGCAGTTTGCTTTAATGTCTAGGTAACCTGTTCTTATCATCTGAATATTTAAGTAAGTTAGTTGTTATCTTGTTTGTTTTAATAGATCATTATGACTGTTAGTCTCATAATCTATTACGGTGCATTTATGAAATGTTTACAACCTTCCATTGTACCACTTGCAAAAAAAAGCGAAAACAGAGATATCCTGGTTGCTGACAATATGCATATCTAATTGGCGACCACTCAATATTTATCGTCAAAATCGATTCAGAAATAAGAAGTGGAAACTTGTTGAAATACTTTGTACATAAAAAAAACAAATGTGATTACCACTCTGGATAATAAATAGTATTGCTAGGGTAGGTTAAGTGTAAGGAAAAATTGTTTTTGAACACATAAAATGGGTTTCAATTTCTGTATAGCCAAGGCTTCAATAAACCTTAGTATATGTCCTTGAAGGCTTTTGTACAACACAACAAATGCTGATTTGATATCAACCTTATGACGCGTCTCAAACAAATGTTTCGCAATGGATGATGATGTCTGTCTATCCTGTGATCTTATTTGACCACTGGAATTCATCTGATTCTGCAACCGTTTCGCGCTAAGAACTCTATATCGTACCAAAAATATAACACTGAATAAAGTCATTAATAATACTAACAATAAATAATTATCAGCTAATGATAATTCAATTATCAATATGACACTAACTGATGTTTAACTAAAGTATGTGATTAACTAATCGATAATGACAAACTACAAACTACTTCCATGTCAAGTTAGGTATGTCAAACTAACAAAACTCCGTTTAAATTCTAGTTGATACTATTTACTACTTTATAATTATAAGTAGTAAAGTGCTATAACTATAAATGAGAAAAAAATCATAATGCAACTGATCTTAATATTACATGATGGCTATACGAGTACATGATCAAATAAACTATTGATATGTATTCGTACGATTGACATAGTTCACTCGTTTAACTAAACATTTGATTAACACCAGCTTATTACTAGAAGTATAGTTTATCTATTGTTAAGTCTGTCTTACATTGTTCCTACTCGTTCCCTTTCTACTCTTTTCTATATTGTTTTATACTACTTATTTATATTCAGTAAGCAGTTGTATTCCCAACAATTTTTACACATATGTTGTAATGCAAGTTGTACTGTAACATTCTGAAATGTTCACACATATCTTCAGCGTTTATTGTACTTATCATTGTATTTATCATTATAATCACTGTACTTTAATTACTGTAACGGTTATCCACAGTTTTGTGCCTTTATTTAAACGCAACAATTTCCATATTGTTTTGCTCTTTGTTCGAGTTTCGGTTGCTCATAAACTGTTATCAAATTTAGACACAGCTATCAGCTGTCCTTTGTACTATCGTATGTTATAATTATTCTTTATGTTACTGTTACAGAAAGCCTTTTTATTTTCATACTTGAAGGACGCGTTTAATCGCCCCAGACATCTCACAAGTTGAGGTTTGTAACTACGTTTTGTGCATTATTCAGTAAAGAACCGCTATTGTAGACAAATTGTTGTTTTGGAAACTTCGGTTTTTTCGTGTATCTCAATCGGGTAACTTAGACGCTTCGATAGATCTCACATTTATAATGAAGTGTATATAATAAGTAGTTAATTACAATACTTAGTATAAATAAAATATTTTAAAAAATGTTTTTTCTATACTTACGCTTCCATCTTTAAGTGCTACTGTAATTGTATCACCAGTTGTATCTTTAATATCAGCTAATATGTAACCTTCTTTTTCATCTTCAACCCATATCACATTTTTGCTATCAAAATTAGCCAATTCTTTTAATAAAGCTTTTCGATCTACACCCAAATATTTGAAATCTGGATCTGATGGATCCATTATTTAATCACTGTATATTATCTATTAAATAGAATAGAAAATAATTAAATAAACAAATATTATCATAAGAGATTATATGAATATGATAGTAATTTTAATAAATGAGATCATAAATCATGGATGAGCATCGTTGAGGAGTCCTACAATAGAACGGAACAACCGTTCAATGCTTACAGGTTTCCTATGCTTGTTTAGCTTCAATTGACTCATGATCTCATCTATTAAAACAAATATTACTTTATACTTTATAAGTAGTATTCTATTCCTAGAATAATTTCAATCAATTCAATGAAACTTACTTGTATATATTCAATTAATTATATATAAATTTCCTTTTGAATAATATAGATATCACGAAAATAAAAAGCGGTAGTTTTATTATTGTTAACAAAGTACGAATAAATATGATGAAACGACAATAAATATGTCAGCGTATAATTTAGGCAATTGTATTATTATTATTATATATATAGATGGGAATTATAGCATAAATCCTATTGGTTAGAATTCAGCACAGACTATTATTGATTTAAATCAACCAATCACAAATAAGATGCACCTTATAATAAATCAATAATGTTTAGTAGGGAAATATAGCTAGTTCATATTTATTTTTTTAGGTAAGGTCCATATATTTAAACAAAATTATAGGTATTTACCTGTGTTAATAAATGAATTTAAGGAAAAGCAGAACGAAAGGCAGGTTATATATGGTATATAAAGGTTTACTTATGTTATTAATTAACCGCCCACTTATATTCCCATCAGCCTTATAGCTGATTGAAACTAACAGTAAATAAATTAGTTAGGTTAAATGTATTCATTAGGATATATGCACAACAACTATACAAATTATATGGATATGAGTTGTGTTTCCTTTTTGTTACATACTATAAGGTTATTGTAAATACCTTATAATGTGCATTGTGTATATTGATTCAATAACAACAATGTGAACATTAGTTATGGTCTAAAACGATATTTAAGCTTCCTAGATTATTAAAATGTATATTACTTATAGACAATTATTCTATGGTATTCTATTCGAATAAGACTTTCCTATTCTATTCGATTAACAAGACGTTTGGCTAGATATTTTTCTCATTCATTAAGGTTGATTAACTGTATATAAGTAGTAAGAAAAAATTGATAAAGAATTCAATTCATTGATACGCTATTATCAACAGTGACATGTTTTACTTTCATACTGTAAATGAACTCACAACAAATAAAATTGAAATTATCTTCTGTAGCCTATATGTAACAACATTAATTACCTTCAGTATAGGTGTTGTGAAGATTATTAATTTTTAGATTGAGATCATAAACCGATTGATTTTAGACTACCATTGAGAACCTGGAAGCATTGGATGACCATTTCGTCCTATTGTGGGACTCCTCAGCAGTTCGCATCCACGATTCTGCTCGTGAGGCAATTCTCGGAGTTCTAGTGAGAAGCCGTGACTAGTATAGCTAATCCGTGTCGGGTAGAGACAGGTATCTACTTCGTTACAATGGAAGATGGTCGCACAATTTCGTGGTTTGATTGAGGTTGAACATTAGCATCACTGGATGCCGGCCAAGTGTTTTACATACATATATATAAAGAAAAACTTTCTATAAACACTCCAATTTCATTTTAAATGGATCGTGAAATACACTGCAAATGTTGCTATGATAAATACAATTTCAAACAAAGTAACAACCCTTCATCAATGTAGTTGTTTATCAATAAATTGATGGCATTAAAGGATTGCAAGATTTTCGGGAGTTTGAATGTAAATGGTAATGAACAGCCAAAGAGAAGAACTATGAATTAAATACGATAGTAGTACATCTTAGGGTTAACTAATTCTTATTCCTAATAAATGAGATATAGTTATAGCTACTTAGTTCTTTATACTCTGATTGCACAGATTTATTATTGAGGATGTTTCTTTTCTTTTGTTCTATTTTCTTTGGCTTCTTACTAACGCTTATTGTAATCTGTCGAGCATCTTGTAACTTTTAGTGTCGGGTGTATTTCCTGCTAACTTGTAAATAGAATATACAATCAAGGCAATCTACCTAGTCTATGTATGAATGCCATGGTGATTAATTGGTAAAGTTCTTTAATCATCCATCATCTCATTGTAACCAAACAAAGAATAATGTTCTTCACATGGTTTTATCAAATAACGACGTCAATAAAAAGTAAAGAAAACAAGAAAATGAACTCATTGATTGTAATATTTATTTATTTATTTGAACACATAAATACTGGTACAAGGGGGCACCGAATACATATGCACCACATAGATCTCATTTGGTATGTGTGAGGGCAGTGATACTGACCGGGTGCCCAAACCGAACCAGGTGGTTTCCTTAGGGGGCCATACTCGGAGCCTCCGACCTGAAGATCTGATCCACATGGCAGTGGAGCATCATAAGGAGGTACAGTCCCATGGTAGAAAGTGACCAACAATTGGTTCATACGCCATTTGTTCCTTCAGGATACTGGAGCAAGCGTATATGCACCATTGGTTTAGAATCAGGGTTTTCCAACTCCCCTAGGTGGACTCTACGTGTCCACCAATCCGGTTAAAGCCCAGGACATTCGCTTTTCGTCCTCTCAATTTCGTAAATAACACCCCCGCCACGAGAAGGCAGTGAGTAGGACTTCCCTGGCAGAGGCTATATACGCGTGGCCATGTGAGAGCATTTCGAGAGGGAGAGCGGACTTTCCCCACTCTCAGCCGTACCAGGGCATTTGGAGGCCATTTATTGTAAAACTTCAAAGTAACGTAAGATTAATAATTTTTCTCGTTATTTATTTTTCTCTTGTTATGCGTTTTCTTTTTACATTGTCTTTCTCCCATTTTTTTCATGATTTACTGATTACTTGTAAAAATACATAAACTTTACACAACTATGGACACAATATAATTGTCCAGAAATTTGTACACTAATCAATATTGTTTATGTGGAATAAATCTCAAGAAGTCATTATGTAGTGTGTGCTACTGATGTCGACAAATGTAAGTAGTATGTATGAATAATCAAAAGTGGAATTCCTGGTAGCACAAGGCTAGGAAGATCGAGTTTAAGAAAATAGAAGAAGTATAAAGGAAATGTGAACAGAAAGAATTATTGCGAATGTGAAAGACAAATGATGGAAATTCGCAAATAAAGTATTCAGTGTGTGGCTCATTGCAAACCCTCTTTGATTGGTGGTTCATTGACACAACACGGTTATTGTTAATGTGTTCCAGTGTAGGTAAGTAAGCTATGGCCAACTCAGATACCGCTAAAATCCACGAGAGATGATTATAAAATATTGACTAAATTTCAAGAATAATTGCATTGTAAGCATTACCGTCCAACAGTTCCCGCCTTAACTAAGAGTCGAAGGTAGGCCCTTAAATTATTATTGCTGGCCTAACTAAGTACAATGCTATTGACCTGCATTCACTTACCTTTTTATATAAACCACGGCAAACGTGAAATACGCATTGAATTATGTTGACTTGTCAGTGGGTATTTAGAAGTGCGGCAGTCTCAGCCTACTCACAATCCATGACGAACATCTCTGTCCTAGACGTGCCACCCATTATTTCAGTAAACCGATATAATATCCAGATCTCATAGACTCTCTTTTTCACTTGTATCCATGTAAATAGAATAGGACGACTGCGACCGAAATTATCAGTTACCACTAACCGAAACAACGAATACCTACAAAGTAAAAGTTATCAAACAGCTGTTGGTATTGTAAGTAAAATCTATACCAAAAACTTCTGGATATTGTTGACAGAATGCGTTCTAATTGTATCTACTAAAGCAGATTCATGTTCCGTGTTCGACTTTGGAAGAAAATTCTCTTAGTTCACCTCATTGTCTTAGGAAACTGAAAACTTACATTAGAGTACCTCAGCCTGGAAACATAAGAGTACATACTTACTTGTAGACATTTTTGCTTTCATTGTATTGACTTCATGGTTAGTCGGTTCTCTAATACATTCCACCAGTTGATCGAAAGATGGTGATTGGATAAGTACTGGCACCAAATTTTCCTCATGCTTTGAAGCCAATAAGCCGGTCCATAGATCGCAGATCGTCCATGAATTTTCACAAGGATTATTATGTATCATCCGGCATAAATTTATCACGTACTATTCCAGTTGTAGAACTTCACGGAATAGTGACTGGCAATTCAGAAACTTGGGCCTGAAATGTCACTTTAGATTTGCAGTCCTCAAAGTTTATTAATTATTCTTAAACCTTGTGGTTTATGTTTTCGTACACTCGAAAACAACAAATGTATACTTAAAGCTAAAGTCACTTAATAAGCAATTTCCTATATTTAGGAATATGTTTCTCCTACTTGCTGAAATGTATTCAACGCTGTTTTGAACTCCACCCAACTAATCAAGCGTCTGCTCATAGTGATACGCCTAGACACATCAGTCAGGTCGACCGATGTATTTCTCGAACAAAAAGCACGACAAATGGGACTGCAATAGTAGGAAACTTTATTAACTGCAGTGCAGAAGGTATTATTAACACCGATGGAAGGCGATAAAAGTTCCAAACTCACTGATTGTCAGTCATCTCTTTAACTTTGAAAAGGACAATATGTTGCTCATGATATTAGTCCATAGAATCGTATGTGACCATTTTCAATCATAATATTTACTTATCCGGCTACAATGGACTCTTCAACAAAATTGTTCATTCGATGCTTTTCAGAAAAAGTTACACAGCAGCAACTAACTTGAGTTTTACACTAAATAAAGACATAGGATGTAGTTAACGTTGTTGGTGGCTTTTTAGACGTCAACATTTTACATAAATATACAAGCAACTAAAAACCATGGTAGCCTACATGCACGCAATCAACCTTAAGCACTTCAAATACGGAATACTCACTGTCACTTAGACCGTCTAAAGTCGTGGAAAAGAAAAAGCAGTCAAGTTTGGTAGTCGATTACTTTTCTTCCGTGTCCCAAATCTGTGTTTTAAGTCATTCATTTTAACCTATTTCGATTGTCAAATAGATTTAAATTCATCGTTTTCGTATTCTTATTTGTACAGTGTAACTCACAGGTTCAAACAGTCAACACCAGTTATCTACTTTTGCACCAATTATCGACATATATTGTAAAGTGTTCCTATTTATGTTTTGAAATTTGAAATGATTTCCAGTATCAGCTATCATAGCAATTACTTGAGGTTACAACAATTGGAATCCCGCGAGGCGAGGTCATGGATGCGCACTGCTGAGGGGTCCCACAATAGGACGAAACGACCGTTCAGTGCTTCCAGGTTTTCCATGGTGGTCTAGCTTCAATTGACTCATCATCTAAACTATTGAAATTATATTTCTTATTCCTAATTTTTTTTGTTAGAAACATACTGTCTATACTCAATCTTCAATCTTATTACCCTGGATACTATTACTCACATTTATTACTCTGATATTTGTTCGGATATTTTTATATCCTTTCGTTGATATAATGTGATCATTTGAATCGATAAATATATGTAAATTGTATAGACAATGATACCCCCCATGCCATAGATCTGATATAAAATCATGATGAGAATATGAACTGTACTCTTTTTTTTAGTTGCTATCTGTGTTTTTGTTTTGTTTTCATGATTA